CGGCTGGCTTCACACTTGCAATCCTCCTGCCTCGGCTGCCTCAGTGCCAGCCTGACAGGTGTGTGCCACCACTCCCAGCTTCCGTCCCATTCTCAATTCCCATGGAGAGTGAATGGGAGAAGGGGTGAAATTTTCCATGACCATGCCCTTCCTTTGTAAGCCTAAGTAAGCCTAAATGCCCGCGTTGCCAGTGGTTACTGGCAATCCTGTCAACGACCGGCCTGCCCACTTGGGCATGTCTAGTCTTGAATTGTTTTTTTGTGCTTGTTCTTTTGGGATCAGGAGGTGGGACTGGGGTCAGGCACAGCCATGTGGGTGAATAGTGTCCAGTGCCAGGCTCCTAGTTCTTTCACCGACACAGGGCTTCTGGCCAGGGGACTTGGCAAGGTAGCATTCTTTCTGCTGATGGAGTCTGCAGCCTAAGCCTAAGTCCATATGGGAGGCACTGAGCTTCAAAGCCCCTGAGGTTCCAATCCTCACGGGTAGGACTGGCCCCACATGGGATGATGGCAAAGGCCCTGGAGTCTGATCTGGCTCAGGCAGGAGATACAGGCCTGACTCGGCATGGGGTACCAATGTTCCTGTCAGCCTGAGATCCCTGTAGACTTGTGTGGTGTACCATGTACTAGAGTGAGCACATGGGAGTCCCTGTCGTGTGGCAAGATGTTCCCAAGCCTGAGGCTTGTGAGAACTACCTGGAGACGTGCTGTGCTGAGTCCCCATGATCAGTTATAACATGGAGAGACCGGAGGGAGTCTGGGGTCATTAGTGCCTAACCAGAGCACCTGGGCAGCAGTGGATGGGGCAGACTCGCAGTAGAAGGGGTGGGGCTGTGTGTTTATGGGGTGTTGGTGGGTGTGAGGATTTGGGAGAGAGGGGACTGTCTAGCGTTCTCTGTGGACTCGTGTAACCCATGGCCTTAATGCACCTGCTGCCATGTCTTCTGAGCCTTGATGAACTGTATAGCCGGAACTGTGCACCAGGATAAATCTCTTTCCATTAACACAAGCACAGTCTCAGGCGAAGGGCAGACACAGGCGAGCTTGGGGCTGTAACCATCTTGGAAGGAGTGAAGATGTGTTAAATGGAGGAGGTATTGTCCTCCTTGGCCCATTAGATCTTAGAGACAATGAACCGTGTGGAATTAAAATTTCCCCGGAGTCTCACACTGGGAAAGGAAAAGGCTGGGGTTTTGGTACCAGCCAGAGGAGGAGCTTGTCTCCTCGGCAGACGGTTCACCCAGTGCTGACCACCTGGGGGACCCTCCAAGATCCAGGACCTGAAACAATGATGGGTCCACAGTGGGAAAGACCACATTGATGGGGACTGTTTAGCGATGTATCCTTTTTACCCTCTATTTCAACCTGAACCCCAAAGACAGACTTGGGTGTGCCTTTAAACTTCTGTTGTTCCCCTTCAGTGTGGCCATGTTGACTAAATCGCCTTTCTCTGCTTGCCTAATGAGAAGCTAATGCCTTTGTCTGTTTAATTGGTCTATTGAGGACAGGTGGCCAAGCCAAGGCAACTCGAACAAGATCCTGACAACTCCAGTAACGCCAGTTTCTGGTTTCCATGTCTTTTCTGAGAGGGGTTCTGTCCCACGGTGACTCATACACTTGAGCAGGAGAGAAAGGTCCCCCAACTTGCCCTTTCATTTGAACTTCTTGGCTTTCTATGGGCCAGGATCAACTTGAAATGTTGGGGTTTGTGATTAGTATCTGTACTGAGATAATCCCCCAGTTAGGAGCAAGGACACCTGAGGAGCTTCAGAGAGTCCTGCATTTTCTAGAACCTTCTTTCTACGTATCCAACTCAAGGGTCAAGGATGGTTGCAGGGGGAGCCTTAGGTTTGCTGGTGCAAAACTGTACCCCCTGGTTGTGTTGGAACGGATCCTGTAGGTGCTTGTAGCCATGCTCCTGCAGCCGTAAAACACGGATTAAGAACGTCTCCCCGACAAGGTCTTCTTGAAGGGTAAATGACACGCTGGACGTGAAAACACTTGGTTTGTGGAAACCACACTCAGGCTGCAGCAGGACTCCAGCAGCCAGCAACATCCAAGCTGCCCCTGTGCCAAGCGACTTGCAAAGCTCCATTCAATACACTTCCTTTCCCTGGGGCACCCACACTGTCAGAAGGGATGGGCATGTGCCTGATGAGACAGTCAGGATGTTGTGTGAGAAGGGTGGCAGGTGAGGCATGTCCAGAAAGCTGGGGTGGCCTCATGACTATTTCTGGAGGGTCAGGTCCCTACTCTGTGCAGACACCTTGCTCCTTCGGAAGCGCCATCATCTCACTGGGTCCTCTCTGACGCTGTCTTAGGCTTGCCATGTGTTGGAATCAGGTCTGTATTTGTTGGCATGGCTCTCGGGGCTCTGGGTGATGTCACCAGCTCTGGGTGGTCCTCTTGATTTCTTCACTTCTTGAACTATCTGCTCCATCCACACAGAACTGATTTCCGCTTACCTTCAGCTACATGTGCACCTGCGTTTGCCCAGACACACTTCCTGACGTCGCCCCCCTCAGGGCTTCTCTAGCATGCTTGTATTGTGACCTTTGTTGGTGCCCACGCTGGTGCTGCCAGACTTGGGGTAGAACACTGTGAGTCTCCACCCAGAGCCATGCTTCTGGCAGTTTCTATCTTGTTCTTTGTAGCTTCCGATTGTCCTTTTTCTGACTTTGCATGAAGGAGAAAGGAAAGAGTGGCTGGCTGACACGGGGACGGGGGACAGTGATTCCCTTGGGTCACAGAGGACTGGTAGACTCTTAGCACCATGGTTATCTATGAAACAGGAGACAACAGGGCCTAGAGGGAGGCCTGGAGACTAGAGCAAATATGCAGAGGTGACCTGGCCTGCGACTCTGTCCTTAGTCAGGACATTTCTAGCCATTCTGAACAGTGAGTCCAAGATGCCACGTTCAGCAGCAAGGTCTTATCAGTGTTATTGGGTCATAAATCCAGCTTCAGGGATCCAAAGGAGGGTGGCAGCTCTGGGGAGACTGAGACAGACAGCACAGGTACTGCGGAGGGAACACACACAGGAAGTTGTGATCCGTGCTGAGGACCAAGGGATGGTGGGTCAGCTCCAGCCTTGGGGGACTTGGGAGGTTTCAGGAGCAAGTGACCCCTGACCTAGATCTTAAGGGGCTCATTAGGGCTGGGTAGCTGGGAAGAGAAGGAAGGCATTTCAGGTGGAGGTGACCACCGGACCAGAGAGAGGAGCCTGAGGCAGCAGCAGCAGCAGCAGCAGCAGGAGCTAGGGAGTGTGGTCGGGTACGGTCAGAGAGTCTTGATATTGAGAGTGGGCACCTTGGGGATGGGGTGGCAGTGCAGGGAAGGGAGGGAGAGAACTGACCGGACCTGCCTGTGAGGGGCTCCCATGGTGATGAGTAGAATGGAAGGACAGACATCTTCAGTATTACCTGCTCGGGCTCAGCTGGATTTTATAGGTGCAGAGAAGCCAAGAGAGCAACGGTGGAGGAAAAAAAGCCAGGGGACGTCACAAGGCTCTCCCCACGAGAACAGGTGTCTAGTTTCTGTTGAGCATCGACGGCGCCAGTAATCACTTGCCCCCACTGTGGTGGGGGCCTTGTACCAGGAACTGTACCCCACTGAGCTACACCACCAGCTCCCTCGTGAATACTTTGTTTGAGACAGGGACTCTCTCTATAGCCCATGTAGCCAGGAGGAGCTGAGCTCCTCATCCTCCTGTCTCCACCTGCCTACTGCTGGGATACAGACATGTGCTGCCAGACCTGGGTTTGACCCAGGCCTGCACGCATGCTGGGCAAGTACTCTATTGAATGATACCCCCAGCTCCCAGTAAAAAGCTTTCTGAGCGACTTAAATAGAGAGGACAGTCGGTGACCTCCCAGGGGTTTGAGATTAAGAGCCTGTGGACTGGAAGAGCATCAGGGACTGGAAAAAAGTTTAAAGGGCAGAGATCTATTTTGGAGCTGTGAACATGTTGAGTGGGCACAGAGTCCCCACATGTGGGCATGGGGCCCCTGGCGCTGACCCCATACATTCTGAGGGTGAGGTTAATGCCTCCTCTTGGGACTAGCCACCCGTGTTCTCTGAAAGTCCTAGCTCTTTGGCTGACCACTTCTACCTGCTTAGAAATTGTATTTGGGACTGAAGGGATGACTCAGCAGGGAGGGGCACCTGATATTCTTGCAAAGGACCTGGGTTTGATTCCCACCCACATAGTGGCTCACAACCATCTCTAACTCCAGTTCCAGGGGATCTGGCAGCGCACTTAGATACACACACAGGCAAAGCACTCATACATATAAACTAAAAATAATAAAACTTTTAAAAAGTCACGTGCCCAAGGAAACCCATTGGCACTACTGCTCCATCCATCCAGTCATTGATCATTAATTGATCTATTTGTTTTTAAAGAGCCTTGCTGTATCGTCCAGGCTGACCTTGAACTTGTAATCCTCCTGCCACAGCCTCCTGAGTTCTGGCATTATAGGCATACACCACCCTGCCTGGTTAAGTCCTATTTTATTTCAACTGAATAAACAAATCCATGCAAGTCTTAGATAACAGGGCTAGGCCTTGAAGTTGTGTGGCTGCCCCCAGAGTCCATGATCTTAACCTGTATGGTCCTGCCAACCTTGAGGTACCAGCCCTCACTCATAGTGGGAAGAATGCTTACGGTCCCTCTGTTGGAGGAGGAAACCTGCCTGTATCGTATCCTAGGGGACCAGACAGCATTTGCCTTGTAGTCTTCCAGGATTGGAAGGGGCCTTGGAGTTGTCTTGTTCATTTTGTAGGTGAGGAAGAGGGACGAGCGCCTGTGGACCTGCTCTGGGTGGCCCAGTTGAGGAGCTGGACAGCCTCCTCTGGTCCCCTCGGGGCTGTTCCAGTGTGTCTGAAGTTCAGTTGTCCAGGTCACCACTTTCTCGCCCTGTCTCACCCAGTCAGGCTGGAGCCAAACCGAATCTCCCTTGAACTCAGACTTACTCTTCTCCTTCCTCATCTTTCCCCCAGATTGATAAGTATCTGTATGCCATGCGGCTCTCTGATGAAATTCTGATAGATATCCTGACACGCTTCAAGAAAGAGATGAAGAATGGCCTTTCCCGGGATTATAACCCAACAGCCACGGTCAAGATGTTGCCGACCTTTGTAAGGTCCATCCCTGACGGCTCAGGTGAGTCTCCGAGGTTGGGCTCCGAGTGCCCTGTGACCATCCTGCCTGGCATTTGCTCAGGTGTTGCTTTCCGCTCGCCCATTGGTCCATCTGCCATCCCGCCACCCACCTGTTCTCCCGTGAGTCCATCTTTTCCCTCCATCCTTCCATCCATCCACCTACCCACTCACCCACCTGTTCTCCCGTTGATCTCCCCATTCTTCTCTTTCTCTCCACCCACCCACCCATTCACCCAGTCTCCTACCCACCCACTTGCCCACCCATTCTCTTGTTCTCCCGTTGATCCGGTTATCCCTCTATCCCTATATCGACCCATCTGTCATCTGTCTGCCAGGCTGATGGCACCACATTGGACAAATGCTGACCTGTCCTCCGGGGCAGGTCTATGCGACACTTTGAAAGTATGGCATTTAGGGTTTTCAGGTACTGTGTGGGGTTATCCTCCATCTCTAGAATAAGCCAAAGGTTCGTCGGAATCCCAAGCACCCGGCCATCCTCCCTTTGGTGCCCCAGATAAGTAACACGACTGGTGACCGGGTAGGGCTTGGGCTCAGAGGTAGGGCATTCAAGTCCCCGTTTGGACAAACTCCCTACACAATATCAGGGGAGCACCAGGAATTCTCCCTCAGTCTGCGTTCTTGTGGCTCCTGCCTGCTGCAGGGAGTTGAAGGACTTTCCCCGAGGCCTGACCAGGGAATTGGCATCCGCTCATCACGGGCGAAGTGGAAGCTGGGAGCCCATGGCCTCATTTGCTCAGGGGCAGCCATTTTGTCCAGCCAATTCATAGTTACTACTAGTTTGCAAAGGTACATGCTGAAGTCACTCCAGCACCAGGATGGGGTTCACCCACAGCATGCCGCGAGGGGAGCCAGGTTCCCAGAAGTCATTTCTTTGAGAGTTCACTCCCCTGCGTGTGGCCTCCGCCCTTCTGCAGTTTCTTTGCTGCTCTGGAGGCCTGGATTTTCAGTCTTGAGAAGGTTTGAAACAGCTCGTATGCCCGTGCCGGCAAAACTGCAGCTTTTACAGATGTTTTCCCAGCAAAGGGCAAGTGCTGGGCTTGCTGCGCAATCTGGCTGAGAGCCAGAACAGTCCCGGCTATAGCCGGCCTTACCACTTGTCTTGTTTGTCCTGTTTTATAATGGGACTCACCGTACACATGTTGCTGCCTCTATCTCTGTTTCTTTGTTCAAGAGTTGAGCTGGCTCCAACTCAGTCTGGCGTGTTTCTTCAAGGGTCGGTTGAGAGCAGTTCAGCTTTTGAAGCAGTTCTAATGGGCAGAACAACCCTGGCTGCTAGACTCTCAGAGTGTTCTGGTGCCTGTGACTGGGGAAGGGAGGCCCTGTGTGTTAACTCTCACTGTTTCTTAGCCTTGGGTGAGCCCATAAACAGACAAAGATTCTCTCATGGCTATTAACTGAGTTCAGCTATGCCTTTTGCAGCTGAGAGGGGAGGGGAGAGAGTGGCAAGTGAGCTGGACTTGGGGAGGTGGGGATTCTGGAGGCTTGGGAAGGTTACCTGATCACTGTAATCAGGGAGGAGGAACAGGCAGGAAATGTCTTCTTTTTTTTTTTCTTTCTGAGCTCGCATCTCCCACCTGCCCCGTCAAGTACCCTTATTCAAGCAGTGCCCCTCCCCCACTTTCCCCACCATCCAGGTTTGAGGGTTGAGGGTCTCAAACCTAGCCATCCCCCTCCACATGCTTCCAGACAAAGCCCACTCATTGGGAAATATTCCATTCTCTAGTTCCCTGTGGGGACCTGAGGTTGATATTAAAGGCCCTGAGCAGTCCCGCGTGGGAAGGACTTTGTCTGCTTTAGCATAACTGCTTTCCCCAGAGTCTGCTTCCATGTTTTCTTCATCTGGAATTGTGGTGGTGGCTGACCTGGAACTCACTCTGTAGACCAGGTTGGCCTGGAACTCACAGAGATCCATCTGCGTCTGCCTCCTAAGTGCTTGGAATGAAGGTGTGAGGGTTGTTGGGTTTTTTCTCTAAGTATGTGAATGTTTTGCCTGCAAGTATGTATGTGCACTATGTGTGTGCTCGAGCTCTCTGAAGTCAGAAGAGGGCATCAGATGCCTTGGAATTGGAGTTATGGATGGTTATGAGCCACCAGGTGGGTGATGGGAATAGAACCCGGGTCCTCTGCACGAGCAGCCAGTGCTGTCTCTTCCGGCTCCCTTGGATGTTTTTAGTGGACAGTATTTCTCATGCGGTTGCTCTGGGTTGACTGTGTCTCATTCCTGAGGTTTCCCCCTGCCCCACTTAGTGGTAAGGCTATTATAGGTCCCGATTAGTCCAGGAGCTGTGGGAGGCTGTGTATTCTTGGATGTTTGTCTCTCCCAGGGTTCATGGCATGTTCTTTACAAAGGAGAAGCCACAAAACATTTTCTGGAAACATACAGATGTCCCATTATCTTCTTCCATGCAAAGCAGAATGATTTATAGTGTATTTGGTCATAGTTTTCCCTTCTTGTTTTTGTTTTTTCAAATGAGCTAAAGTCTTATGTAGACCAGGCTGACCTTGAACTAGCTGTCCCCCTGCCTCAGCCTCTCCAGAGGGAGGATTGCAGTTTGTGCTGCCACACTCACAATGGTCATAGATATATCTTTTATACTAATTATTTTTATTTTATATGCATTGGTGTTTTGACTGCATGTCTGTCTGTCTGTCTGAGGGTGTTAGATCTTGGAGTTACAGTTGTGCACTGTCACGTGGGTGCTGGGAACTGAACTCCAGTCCTCTGGAAGAGCAGTCAATGCTCTTCACTGCTGAAACCGTCTCTCCAGTCTGATGATAGATACTTCTGGTGATAGGTCTTACTACACAGTCCTAACTAGCCTGGAGCTCACTATGTAGACCAGGCTAGCCTTGAATTCACAGAAATATGCTTGCCTCTGCCTCTAGTGTGGTAGGTTGAAGGTGAGCACCACCACGTGCTATTTCCTTCCTGTTTTGATCTAATTAGTACTGGCTATGACGACTCGAAGTTCCAGTGGCGTGTGGGTCCCTCTTTCAGAGCTGGTTCTGGTGAAGTTTAGGATGAAGGTTGTCCCTGGGCTGGCTTGCCTGCAGCTCACTCACAGGTCCCTTCATGAAGGCAGCCTCTGTTTGCCTTGTATTCCAACACAGGCTGGTGCTCAGAGAGACACCTGGCCCTGTGTTTGCTTTCCATTATTTCCTGGTAATAATGGCCATCGATGGAAGGGAAGAGATGCCAGGCCCTTCAGAGCCTTGCGTAATGAGCCTTCTTCTCTTGAAGACTGGCTCCCTCCCCCCGGAGGATGGGAAAAGCTGGGAGGGGTTAGAGTTGGAGGCCCCTGGAGTGGGAAGGCAGATCGGAGACTAAGGATACACAGAGGAAATTGGAGGGCAGTCAGCTGCTGGTGCAAGAAGCTGAATTTGAAGGAAGAGGAGGTAAAAAGAAACAAAGTCCATATAAATGGAGAAACCCCCAGCACTTTCACTGACTTGTTCAGAGAAATTACTTCAGCCTCAGCCTTTGTTGCCTCGTCTGTAAAATGGGCATAAGGGAGTTTGACAACTCATACCTATAATCCCAGCAGTTGGGAATGCTGAGGCAGGAGAATTGCCATGAGTTCCTCTGTTTGTTTGGTTTTGTTTTGTTTTCTGAGACAGGGTTTTTCTGTAGCTTTGGAGCCTGTCCTGGAATTCGCTCTGTAGACCAGGTTGACCTTGTACTCAAAAATCTGCCTCCCAAGTGCTGGGATTTAAGGCACGTGCCAACACGGCCTAGCGAGTTCCTCTGTTTAAAGAAATATCTAATTGGACTGAACGAAATAATAAACATGAAATGGAGGGCATGATTCTCCCTGCTCTGGGGGCTTTGGGACCTGTAGGGCACTGTAAGAAGCATAGTGAGTTCTATCAGCATCGCCCTTGCACTGCGGGCGGATGTACTTCGTGGGGAGGGAGGGCCTTTCTAAGCAACCTTTCCTGGCTATAGGACCCTGATGGGGCCTGTGTAAGCACAGTTCCTGAGGAAGGGTGAAGAGGGTTTTAGAATTCACTGATATCGCTGATGTGGAAGGAGATAGAGAGAAGGCAAAACGCAGACCATATTCTTCTGACTCCACCCCCTCTCAGCTGGCCTCATAAGATGAGTGAGCCTGAAATGGGCCTGTTGGCACACTGTAATCTGAGCACTCAGGAAGTGGAGGCAGGGAGATCAGAAGTTCAATGTCATCTTAGCTGTGCCTTCAAGACAAGGCTATGCTGTGTGTGACCTTGTCAGAGAGGAGAGGGGGAGATGAGGATAGGTAGATAGATAGATAGATAGATAGATAGATAGGTGGATAGATAGATTAGATAGGTAAGTAGGTAGGTAGATGATAGGTAGATAGATGCATGTAGATAGATAGATAGATAGATAGATAGATAGGCAAGCAGGCTGGTGCAGGCCTGTAATCCTAGCTACTTAAGCGATTTAGGCTGGAAGATACTGAGTTTGAGCTAAGGAAGTGCCAGGCATCCAACAGAGCTTACCAAATCCCCTGTGGCACTTACCTGAAGCCATTCTCTTTGTCCCTGGCCTGGCAGAACAGAAGAGCAGACAGACCTTGTAACTGACCTAGGCGGTTCCTGCTGAGCCAGCTTAGACACTCAGACTGTCTGCTGTCTGCAGACTCCGCTGCACAGGGCAGCAGTCTCCAATCTGCTTATCATTCACCCAGCTGAGGGAGATAAGGCTGTAGACATCTTAAAAAAGAAAAGAAAAGAGAAAAGAAAAGAAAAGAAAAACAATGAGCCGGTGAGAAAGGAGGGTCCCCTGGCCACTGGTAGGACCAGTTTGCTTGGAGCTTCCTTATCCGTGAATTGTGGGATGGAGTTAATATTGTCCCAGCATTTCTTGGGCGGTGAAAGTGATATTCAAATAGGTGTAGCAACCCTTTTTTTCTGAGACACCTATCAGATGGAGCCAGGGACACCTCAGGTAGGGAGGTTCCTGCTTCAAGAGAGCCCCCTGGCTCTCAGCAGCCACTGTCGGGTGCTCTTCCAATCCATCCTCTTGTTTACTGTCGTCCAGTGTCGTTCAGATGATTTTGAATTCTGGCCTGGCATGTTCTGGTTGTCCTGTCTACTCTCACCTGAACTCCCTGGAACCTTGCTCCCTTGTGCCCATTTCAGAGGCTGAGTAGAGATGGGGGGGGGGGGTGATCAGGACAGGGTAGGATGGGCCAGCCCAGGGTCCCCAACTTTTCAGCTGTTACCTGGAACGTCGATGGCAGGAAACCCACTTTCTTTTATTCATCTGAACACGAGACCAAGTTGGCAACTAAAAAATTTCCCAATTATAAAAGTTTATAATGAATCAAATAGAAGCATTTATCCACTGTATGAAAGAGAATACTCTATTTTGGCAGAAAAGAAACCCTAACTTCAAAAATAAAAATAAAGCCAGGTTTGGTGGTACGTGATTTAATCTGTGCACTCAGGAGGCAGCGATGGGTGGATCTCTGAGTTTAAGGCCAGTGTGGTCTACATAGAATGTTCTGGGCCAGCCAGGGTTACACAGTAAGACCCTGTTTCAAAACAAAACAAAGTAAAACCCAAACACATAAAACATACAGAGAAACAGACACACTTTCATGGTCAGTTGATTTTTGGCAGGGATACCAAGGCTATTCAGTGAGGGAAAAGAGTCTCTTCAGCCTGCAGTGCCAGGACGTTGTCTGTCCACAAAGAGCCAAATTGTATCCTTACTTTATATCCTGTACAAAACATTGACTCTACGTAGATCAAAGACTTAAGTGTAAGAGCTGGAACCGGGAAGCTCCTAAAAGTAGGTATGAACCTCTGTGAACTTGCATTTGGTGGTTTGGATTCTTTTTTGGCTTTTCTAGACAGGATTTCTCCGTGTAACTTTGGTGCCCATCCTGGAACTCGCTCTGGAGACCAGGCTGGCCTTTTACTCGCAGAGATTCTCCTGCCTCTGCTTCCTGAGTGAGGGATTAAAAGTATGCACCACCACAGCCCAGCTGCAGTTTGGATTCTTATACACAACACAGAACTAAAGGGCAAAACCAGAAATAAATGCTACTTCATGAAAACGTAAATTTTTTTGCCTAGCAATGGTATGCCCAGGGCTCAATGCCCAGCCCCACGAAAGTAACAAGAAAAAATTTTAAATGTTTGCACTTTTCTTTATTGTTACTATATTTTAAAACTTGTTTATTTCTTACTATTGTGGAATATGATGCATGTATGGCGGTATGCACGTGCTGGGGTACGTGTGTAGAGCTCAGAGGACAGTTGTGTGGAGTTGGTTCTCTCCTCCCATTCGTTATGGGGGGGGCGAGTCCGGGAACTGAACTCAGATCTTCAGGTTTGCGCAGAAAGTGCTTTATCCATCTCACCAGCCCTGCTGCTGCTGCTGTTGTTGTATTTGTGTGAGTATACGTGGGAGAGTGGCCATGCTTGTATGGGAGCCAGAGGTCGATTTCAGGTGTTCAGGTGCTGTCTGTCTTATTTTTTTTTTTTTTAGCATAGGGTCTTTCATTGGTTTGGGGGGTAGCAAGTAGGCTAGGCTAGCTGGCCAGCGAGCACCCGGGATCCACTGTTCACCTTTCCAGTGCTGGATTACAATACATGCTACTGCACCTGGCTTTCTTTACAGGGTGCTGGGGATTGAACTCAGGTCCTCATGCTTGGGTAGCAAGCACTTTATTGAGTTATCTGTCCAACCCTTTCCTTCCCTCCCTTTCCCTTCCCTTCCCTTCCCTTCCCTCTCCCCTCCCCACCCCCAACTTTATCCCACTCTCTCTCTTTTGGCAGGAACTGAACTTATGTGGTGGTTTGAAAGAAAGTGACCCCCATAGGTTCATGTGTTAGAATGATTGGTTCCCATTACTGGAACTGTTTCAGAAGGATTAGGAGGTGTGGCCTTGGGGGAGGAGGTGTGTCACAGGGAATGGGGCCCACGCCAGGCCCAGTCTTCTCTCTTTCTACCTGCTGCCTAGGTTATCAGATACATGCAGAACTCTCAGCTACTGCTCCGGCACCATGCCTGTCTGCTTCTCGCCAAGATGACTAGCCCTCTAGAACTGCAAGCAAGCTCCCAATTAAATGCTTTCTTTTATTAGAGTTGCCTTAGTCATGATGTCTCTTCATAGCAATAGAGCAGTGACTAAGACAACCCAGGCTAGCTAAGCAAACACTCTACTATTAAGCTACATCCCTGGCCCTACTTACTAATTAATGCCGTATCATGCTTGTGGAGGTCTGAGGACAACTCCTACCTTGTTGACATAGAGCCCCCATTTCCTTTGCTGCAGTGTACACTCCAGGCTGGCCCACAGGCTTCCAGCCCATTCTCTAGTCTCTGCCTCCCAAGTGGCCGTAGGAGTAGGGTTACAGATGTTTACAGATGTGCACCACCGTATCTGGCATTTTACTTTGGTTTGGGGGTTGAACTCAGATTGCCATGCTTGAGTGATCAGTCCTCATACCCCCATATATCTGACATCAAGACCCCTCCTGTTTTGATCTGAGCAAAGGGTCTGGGTGGATATAGATGGGCAGTCTGTAGGTAGATGATGTTCCAACGTCAGCATTCATCAGAGAGATGTGGGTGACAGTGGAAAATGACATCACACACGCGTTCCTGAAGGTTCAGACAAACTAGAGATTTCATCCATCACAAACAGGAAAGTAATGCAGCCAGTTTGTGAGACACTGGCATTTCTACAGGCTAACCATGCTTTATCAGGTGGTCCGACCCCCTGCATACAGCCAAGAGAAATGAGGATGCGTGTCTGCATGTGTGCCAGTGTGCCTGGCAGTGTTGATCATACTAGCCCAAAGTGGAAACGGCCTATGTGGACCAGCTAATGAAGGGATGAGTGAGATGTGGCATGTGTAGACAGTGGGATGGATAGCACTAACCACGAAAAGAACGGAGCAGAATGCTGATAAACAGTGCGGCGTAGAGGCCCGTTAGAGAAACATTTTGCTAAGCGAAAAAAAGCAACCATTTATATGAAATGCCCAGAAAAGTGTTGTTTAATTCCATTTATTTATTTTTTTGTTTGTGGTGTTATGGACCAACCCCAGGGCCTCTCATATGCTGAGCAAGTATTTTACCACTGAGCTATATCCTAACCTTTGGATTTTTTTAAAATATACACTCACCCTAGACAAGTTTTTACTGTGTAGCCCAGGTTAGCTTCGAACTTGTAATCCTTCTGTCTTAGCCTAAGTGCTGGGATCACAGGCATGTACCTCTATCCTTGGCTTGAAACGTACACTTTGAATGAATGAATTGCATGATGTGTGACTCAAATGGCAAACTGTGTGTGCGTGTGCTGTGCGTGTTAGTTATCCTTCTCAGGGAAAGTGAGGTTCCATAGGCTGATATTGATGGCCGTGGATAGGAGGGCTACTGGTACTTAAGGAGACAAGGGTGGCTATCACTCCTGGCCTGGTAATCCGGACTGTAACATCAATGACATTACACGAAGTGAAAGCCACCAGTCACAAAAGACTATTTATGCCTGATTCCACATATGAAATGTCTAGAACGGGTCACTTTCAGACAGTGCAGTAGGGGTTCCTAGGGAGAGATGGGGATGAGGAATTACTGATTAATGGTATCCAAGTCACATTGGGTGATAGACAAGTTTCGCCGGTAGTGATAGCTGCTCAACCTTGCATTGTCCTTCACGACACTGAGCTGTGCACTCAAATGGTCCTAGTGCTAAGCTTCATGTTGTATATATCTTACAACAATAATGGAAAATCAACCCAAGGAGTAACCGGAGCTCTGGGCAAGCCATGGTTGGCATCTGAGCCAACGTGGAAGGAACCCCAGGCATAGGATGGACCTCAGCACAGGCTTTTCCTGTGCTGAAATCCTGTGCAAGCTGGGTGTGGCAGCACACACCTTTAATCCCTGCAGTTGGGAGGCTCAGGCAGGAGGGTTGGGAGTCTGGGGTCATCTTCAGCTACATAGCGATGTTGAGGCTAGCCTGGGCTACCTGAGACCCCATCTCAACAAACTAAAAAGCCAGCGTTGTGTGGTCTTTATTTATGGGTGTCAGTGCTGCTCTTTAAATGGGCTAAGGAATCCGAGGAAGGTGGAAGGGAGCCTTGTGTCCTGTTCCACGCCTCTTCTGCAGTGTGAGACTAGAGTGGCTCCAGCAGGGCCAGGCGAGATGAGCACACTTTCTGCTGAACGTGCCGTATGGCTGGCGGCAGAGACAGATAGGGCCAGATCCAAAGGGTGGATACCGCCCAGGGTCTTCTCACACTTCAATCTGACATGACACCTCTTTCCTCCCTTGTCAGAAAAGGGGGATTTCATCGCCCTGGATCTCGGCGGGTCTTCCTTTCGTATCCTGCGGGTGCAGGTGAATCACGACAAGAACCAGAATGTCTTCATGGAGTCTGAGGTCTACGAAACCCCAGAGAACATCGTACACGGCAGTGGAAGCCAGGTGGGTCCTCGTCTTCCTCGTTCTGTTCAGTCGAGCCAGCATCCCTTGGAGCACCCACAGGGGCCAGACTTCTGAAAGCTGGGGCATGGCAGGACTCACTGGCTGGCTGTCACAAGTGTCGATTGTAAAGGACCCCCAGGGGAAGGAGGAGGCAGCTGTGTGGAGCTGCATATGCCTGCAGAGGCATGCACCGTCTGGTGAACTGGTGGTGTGGATGCGGGTGAAGGCTGTGAGGAGGGAGGCCCCATGGCATTGCTGCAAGTGCTTTTGCTCCTAAAGGATCCGGGGTTGTTTCCTTGGCAGAGGGTTAGCCTACCCTTTGGGTAGAAATGCCCATCTCTCAGACCACTGGCTTCTTCATCCACTCCCTGGAAGCCAGGCCCAGTGGAGTGGTTCCCAGCTTGGGGTATCGGGAGCTCTGTGCTCTTGATTTAATGGTGTGCACACACCCTTGGTTCAGCCAGCAGAGGCTGCAAGCTTTGCTTTGGAAATGGCCATCTCTCCTCGCATTTATACCCCCAGCTTCTCCTCCTTCCACAGGACCTTGAGCAGGGCCAACCTTCCTGACCAAAGGATGTGTGCACACGTGGAGAAGACCTGTTTTGTGATGTGTGGTGGGTCCCTATCTCCCCAGGACCCTGTGACTAAGGTTCTGGAAGTCCCCTCAGGTTTTCACTCATCTCTGGGTCCCCTGAGCCTATCACACGGGGGTGCTCCATTACTCTTATGGATGGGAGCTTGTACCCACCCACATTCCACCGTGGGGCTGTGGTCTTGGTACAGTTAGAAGCTTGCCTGATTCCTGCTGGGGAAGGTGTGAGTTCGTGGATGGCAGTGTTCAAGTTCTCCACAGAAAGCCATGGTTCTGGGGTGGCCTGTGAGGTTCTGCCAGGGGCCTTCTCTAGAGGATCCCACTTAGTGCCTAAGTTACTGTGGCTGCGAGTCAGAGCAACCCACCTACACAGGAGCTGATCCTGGCCTCAAACTCTGCCTGCTGCTTGGCTTCCGAGTTTTTCGGAGCATAACACAGTGAACGTGCAAGGAAACGCTGTCTCTGACTTGGGCTAGGCGCCTTACCATCAGCCACGGAGGCAGGTGAAGCCACGTTAGGTGGGCCTGCCTCCGTCACTGGGCTTTAGAGACTGGTCCCTTCAGCTCAAGGATACTGCATGAGAAAGGGAGATCTCCTACCCATGTCTCCATTGCCCATTGAGTGGCTTCTTTTCTGTAGGTAGCCAGCAGCCTGCTTGGCAGGTCCTGGTCCGCCTAACAAGTGCTGGCTTATCACTGCTGGTGGTCCCGAGGTTGAGCCACTGCTGAGACTGTCAGCGTGTAGACATTCCCTGTGTGCCTCGGCCTCTTAGGAGCAGGGCTTGTTTAGGGGGTGCCTCCATCCTAGGAGACACTTGCTCAGTAATTTCCTTCCAGCCTGGCCCCCAGTTTTCCTTCTTATCCCTGGGATCCTTCGCTTCCTGCTGTTTGTTTCTTCGTTCCTTCTAAGTCACATAAAATGATGACGACGGTGGTGGCGCCGTGTCTTATTTTATAGCACACACCAAGTACCATGCTTGTAATGTGCAAGTGGCTGACACATAAACACTTTCTGTCTCGTGACTCATTTAATCACCATGGCAACCGTGTGGCTAGGTATCCGTTATGTCCATCTTCATGAGAAGCCCTTGTCAGCTGTTTTAGTAGCTGGACAAATTCTGAGATTTTGGAGGTGATCTCACCCCTAGAAGTTACAGTTTCAGCCACTAGGACTTTTTTTTCTTTTCCTTTTTTTCATTTATTTATTTACTTTGAAACCAGGTTCCACTATAGAGCCCTGGTTGTCCTGGAACTCACTTTGCAATCTAGGCTGATCTCAGACTCACAGAGATCCACTTGCTTCCGCCTTCCAGAGCTGAGGTTAGAGGTGTGCATTAGTATATCCAACAAAAATTTAAATTATAGAAATGTGTGCCACATACCTGTAGGTGTAAATACCCCAAGAGGCCAGAAGAAGGCATTGGGTCCTCTGGAATTGGGGCTACAGGTATTGTGAGCCACCTGATATGGATGCCACCAACCTAACTTGAGTGTTCTTGACCTCTGTCTCAGTTAGGGTTTCTATTACTGTGAAGAGACACCGTGACCACAGCAACTCTTATAAAGAAAACATTTAATTGGGTAGCTTACAGTTCAGAGGTTCGGTCCATTGTCGTCATGGTGGGGAGCATGGTGGCATGCAGGCAGATGTGGTGCTGGAGCTGAGAGTCCTACATCTTGCAGGCAACATGAAGTCAACTGACCACTTGGTAGTATCTTGAGCATAGGAAACCTCAAAGCCCGCCCCCATAGTGACACACTTCCTCTGGCAAGGCCACACCCACGTCATCAAAGCCACACCCCCTAACAGTGCCACTCCCTATGAGTTTATGGGGGTCAATTACGTTCAAACTCCCATAACCTCTGAGCCTCTATCTCTGTTTCTTAGATCTTTGATGATGAGAAAATTTGGCTGTGGACAGGAGCTTAGATCAGGATGTGAGGGGAGCAGGGTGGGAGGAAGGATGGGGATGAAATCGGAACATCTCTGGCAGCATTCTGGTGATAGCGGTTGCCTGGTATCGAGTGGCCCATCTCCTGAGATCGCTGACCTCTTCCGTGGAGCTCTGTGGTGACCCAGGTCCTCATATTACCCGTGGAGCTGCTCAGACTCACTGGCTATGAACAATGAAGGCTTAAGGGGCTAGATCCTGTGGGGGATCTCACCCTCTGTGATGTGTAGATGTTTGGGGTTTTGTTGTTGTTGTTTGTTTGTTTGCTTTTTTGTTTTTTGGTTTGTCGAGACAGTGTCTCTCTGTGTAACAGTCTAGCTGTCCTGGAACTAGCTCTTGTAGACCAGGCTGGCCTCGAACTCACAGAGATCCATGTCTATGCCACCCAAGTGCTGGATTAGAGGTGTGCACCACCACTGCCCGGCTTGATGTTTTAAATTGATTTTAAACCTGTCATCTGGACTACTGTTAAGCTTAGAGATGAGCAGACAGTATGTTCACCCTGCAGGGCCCCCCACTCAGTCTCTTTCTTCCCTCTCACCCACATGGTATCTCAAAGCCTTCCTCGGTTTTCAGCTTTATGATTTCAGAAGCTACATACAACATCGCTAAAACATGGCTTAAGTGACCAGGGGGTCAGCTCGGCTGTCATTGTCCTTGGTGCACAAATGTGAGGACCTGAGTTTGGGTCCCAGAATTCACATAAAAAGTTGGGCGTGGCCGGGTGGTGGTGGCACACACCTTCAATCCCACCCAGTACTTTGGAAGCTGAGGCAGGTGGATTTCTTGAGCCCGAGGCCAGCCTGGTTTGCAGGGCAGCCAAGGTTACACAGAGAAGCCATGTCTCAAAGAAAAAGAAAACCAAACAACAAGCTGGATGTGGCTGCCCGAATGGCTGTAACCCCAATACTTTCGGAAAACAGAGACAGGAGGATGGCCTGAGCTAGCTCGCTGGCCACCAGCCCAGCTCCAGATTCAATGAAACACCTTTTCTCAAGGTAATACAACAGAGTGATAGAATAAAACACTTGATATTGTCCCCTGGTGTCAGTTATGAGCACCGGGACACACATGTTGATACACATGTGCATATACATCTTATACACACACACTCACAAACATTAGTTTTGATAATTTTGAATAATACTTAACATTGTTGCTTTTCTTATTTGTTTCATTTTGCCATTATTTGCCTTGCTAGTCAGTTGACTCTCTCCTCTCTCTCTCTCTCTCTCTCTCTCTCTCTCTCTCTCTGTGTGTGTGTGTGTGTGTGTGTCTGTGTAGCATATGTATGTACAAGTTGTGTGGGTGCTCATACACGTGTGTGAGAACACAAATGTAGAGGCCAGAGATTGCTGTCAGGTAGCCCTTCTCCAACACGCTCTACATTATCTGTTTGAGACACGGCCTCTCATTGAAGCCAGGTTCACTGACTGACTGGCCAGGCTGACTGGCGAGCTGCTCTGTCTCTTCCTCCCCCACACCAGGGCCGCAGTACACTACCTCACCTGGCTCTTTATATGTGTTCTGGGGATCTGAACTCGGGTCCTTATGCTTGCGGGGAGGGCACTTTACCAACTGAGCCATCTTGCCCCTCCTTAAAAAAATTGATTTTGTGTGTGTGTGTGTTTGTGTGTACGTGTGTGTGGAGGTGCACACGTGCCACAGTGGGAGCATGTGGAGGTCAGAGGTCAGCTTGTCAGAGGTAGTTCTTTCTTTCCATCATGTGGGGCCCAAGTGTTGAACCCAGTCTCCCAGTCTTGGTGGGAAGCACTTATCTGCTAAGCTATCTCGTTGGCCCTAAAATGTTTGTTTATTTTTAGCTAGCTCAGGCTGGCCCAGAACTTGCTATATAGTCCAGACTGGCCTCACACTCATTTTCCTCCCTCTTCCTCCCAAGTGTGAGATTATAAACATAAGTCACTAGAGCCTCTGTGTGTAGTTTTAAAATAATGAGCATGCTGTCAGGAAGGTGATGAGGATTCATTCATTCATTCATTCCATTTACTTTGTGGTCCTGGGTATTGAGTCCAGGGTCTTGGGATGCTGGACAAGTGCTCCACCACTGGGCTGCATCCCAAGCTCATTTCTTACCTTTGGTTTCAGAAGACAGGGCATCTCTAAGATACCTAGCCTGGCCTGGAACTTAACTGTCTCCCCGGCTGGCCTGAAACTCTGGACCCTCCTCCCGCAGCCTCTCCAGTGCTAGGATCATAGGTGTGCACCGGTACACCCAGTGCATCTGGGCTTTATCAGCTGCTATGGGGAGATGCATTTGACTCAGCTCCAGGTGCTGGGTATGTGTTCCCGGTGCCTGCTGTGGCCCTGTTGCTGCTGAGGTGAGCCATTTCAGGCCCCGCCCTTCCCACACGACCATTTTTCCTTCCTTCAGCTCACTGAGACCAGGAGTGCCTGGAGCCCCCGGTGCAGCTGGCACAGGGCTCAAGAACTGACTTAGGAAGGGGTTTGTATCAGTCTGAAGTAGGTCACAGGAAGCTTAGACTGGTTTCTCCAGAGAGGACGGTCACGTGTCTCTTCAGTCCCAGATACTGCTGCAGTGTGTGTAGCCTGAGTAATAGTGACTCCTCACCAAGGCTCCCAAGTCAGAATGGGCTGGGCGTTCCCTAACCCCAGCAGTGAGTCAGGTCCCCTCTAAGCTGGGTCAAGGTGACTAAGGTTTGGCACTTTGACACCAACCATCCTCTTCTGAACTCCAAGGAGCTCTGTGGGGGCTCCCAAAGGCCCACTACCCTCAGCAGTACTGAGTCAGAGCCAGCGGGCTTGCGTGGCAATGCTGGATGCACACTGTGGGATAGTCACAGCATGGCGTATTTATACAGTGATGAGCGGGGGCAGCCCTTAAAGATGCGTGGATGACTCAGAACAGAGACAGCCGAGAGCACACCTGGCTCCTTTTCCAGTCCTACATGAGAGTGTTAGAAATTGGGGTGGCAGGAGAGACCCCAGGGCCGTGAAGGTAGCATCTGGGTTTTTATTGTTATTGTTTAAAATAGGGTTTCACTCCATTGCCTAGCGTTGCCTTGAACTCAAGGCAATCCTCTTGCCTCAGACTCCCGAGTCTGTGAATTGTGGACTTGCGCTACTATGTCTAACTTGTCATGTGGGTTTGATATTGGTATATTTCTTTGGGCGTTAGGTCCCAGGGATCAGACACGGGCGTTGTGGCTAGACAAGTGCTGTACGCTAATCCAGACCCCCAGCCCCACTTATACTTCTGGACGTGGGTGTCGGCGATGGGGCAGGTGCAGCTTACGAGAGACCTGTGCCTGCCACACTTGGATTCCCTGCCTTTCAGGAGTGCTCATCTTTCCTCCAGGAGGTGAAGTAAAAACACAATGCTTTGATTGATAGTTCCAACCATGGAGCTGCCTAAGGAGTTCCAGGGTCAGCGTGGGGAGTGACCAGCTGATGGAAACCCATGGCCAGGGTGTCATGGAAGACTCTTTGTTGGTTCTCTGTGTTTCTAATGTCCCTTCAGTGCCTAGATGACCAGTGACCTTTGTGGGGCTGGAGGTGTTCTGTGAGAGCTGGTTGCTGGTACAAACACACACAAACGCACGTGTGCGCATACACACGCACGCGCTCACTCTGAAACAGTCCTCTTTCTGCCCCCACCCTGATGTCCCTCTTCTGTACCTTCCAGCTTTTTGATCATGTCGCTGAGTGCCTGGGAGACTTCATGGAGAAAAGGAAGATCAAAGACAAGAAATTGCCCGTGGGATTCACCTTTTCTTTCCCCTGCCGACAATCCAAAATAGACGAGGTGAGGATGCCTTGAGGTCGAATTGTTTCCGAAGATGGCAACCATACCCTCAGGTTTCCCCTTGCTTTTATGGGTGACTTGCATGCCTCATGGTTTTGGAACCATTTGCCAAAATTAATGTGAGCTTGTGGGGTCGTGTTTCTTTTCCTTCCTTACGCCCCACCCCACCCCCAAACCTCTTCTGAGGGGGCAAATGCATCCCAGGCTGCTCTCTAGATAGTAGCCTAGGATGACTTTGAACTTGTGGTCCTCCTTCCTTGCCTGGTTTATGTGATGCTGGGGACTGAACCCCGAATCTAGTGCACGCTGGGCAAGCACTCTACCCGCTCAGCCATGCCTCCAGCCTGTTCTGCTGACCAGTTGCTTTAGTTGCTGGTGTAGTTTTAGCAGTCAGTTATGGTACTTACAGCCACCAGGTGGAAGGAGCCATTGATGGGGCTCTCGTAGGTGAGCAAGGTAGACAGGCTCGATAGCTATGCAGAGAAGCGATATCGGGACTGAAGTGTGTTTAACTGGAAGCCACATGGCGACTGCAAGTCTGGGCAGGTGCTGTGCCTCAGGAATCAGGATGTCTTCCTTAAGAGAAACCTCTGGCTTCCTTGTCGAGCTCCCAGGTGGCCGACTTGTCCCGGCAACTTTCCTGTTTGCTGTTTGTTCATTCATGCATCTGTTTGGCAAGGATACACTCAGCTCTACCCTGCGGTAAAACTGCTCCTCAGAGAGCTGTGAAGAGGTGGAAAAAGTAGGCGGAGCTTGTTCCTGTTCTATGTGAAGGGTCGGAACAAGCCCCCACCCCACTGTGTGTGTGTGTGTGTGTGTGTGTGTGTGTGTGTGTGTGTGTGAACCAATGCCAGTTAACTCTGAGGGCCCAGCAGGCCCCAGGCCCATGTTTTCAAGTGCACTACACAGCTAACACATAATCTCTGTGAGTTAAGTGCTTCTGAGCCCCCTTATGGATGGAGAAACTGAGGCTTGCCTGCAGCCCAGAGCCAGCAGAGAATGTGATTTCACACCAGTCTACTTACTGCAGCATTTAGGTACCGGGTGTCCTGCATGCTTGCTTTTCGGCAGTACCTGGACCCCTTTGTTGATGGGGTCCCTGTTGCTGCTTTTCCTGACGCCGGAGGCTGTGCATTTGTTTGACTTGCAGAATCAGATGAAGGGTTTGGAGAGCTCAGTAGATTGAGCCTCTTGTTTTAGGATAGAGAGCCGAGGCCTTCATGGGGTGACCCGGATTATTCATTATTGAACCGAGAGCACCTGGGTCTTACCTTGCATTTTGTGCCCCCCTCCCTTGAGTACCTCTGAGATGTTCCTGTCCCCACTTCTCTCCATCTGGAACTTGGGTAAGTCCCATCTAGACTCCCTAGATACCTGTCAGTTTGATACCTCCAAGCTGTTCAGAGCAGTTGGGCCCCCAGAGTACCTCTCCCAGCCCTTCCTCAATGCTTGCTATTGTGTGATAACATGGGAGGAAGGTCCCAGTTCCTCAGAAGGCGCCTAAACTTAGATCATGCTGAACTGTGTGTGTGTGTATGTGTGTGTTTCTGCCAATACTTTCACATCACTGAGAAAGTTTAGTTTGTACATTAGGCACATTAAAAGATTAATAACCATTGCTAATGATGGAACAGTTCGGTTTACTATAGCAAGAGTTGTGTGAAGATATGTTCTCAGAATATTCAATTGCTGGGCGGAGATCCCACTCAGTTCAGTGCTTGCCTCATAGGCACGAAGCCCTGGGGTTGATCCCCAGCTCGGTACATGCTCGTAATTCCAACACAGTCATAACCCAGGACTTGGGAGGTGGAGGCAGGAGGATCAGAGGCTCAAGGTCATTCTCAGCTGCGTAGCAAGTTCAAAGCCAAAGTGGTCCACATGAGACCCTGTGTCAAAAAGTCAATTAGAGACCTGGCAGTTGGTCTAATAACCGAGATGGCCGCTAAGTGACCAACGTGACGACTAAGTCCTGAGAGAGCATGGCTAGCGGATATGGCCTAGCCTCCACAAAGCAGTCTTTGAAGCAGGGAGGAAGGGGTGGCAGGAGGGATATCCTCCTGGGGACAGGAGCCTGCAGGATGGAACAGATGTGGGTGTGGGTGTTGTGGGCAGAGGAGGAGCCAGAAGTGTGACTTACGTACCAACCCTGACCCCCACGGAGGAAAGGTTCAAGGCTGGGACCTCCATTGCCCAAAGCTAAACCAACTCCATTCTTCTCAACATACAAAATGTTCCTCAGAGGAATGAGATAACACCCACCAGGAAGTGGGTAGGAGCTTGGCTCCAGTCACCCAAGTCCGTGTTTGTTTCAGTGGAGGCTGAAGGGAAGAAAACAGTGACCAGGGTCATTCCTAATGCTGGGCTTAGTCATTCTTGCTCCAGAGTGTAGGATCACAAACTCAATGAGGGTTTGCCCACTCCTGTGCAGCCCATAGTCTGCACGCCTCTCAGAGCCAGGTCAGGCCCCTCTTCTTTGTATAAGCCCTGGGAGGCTGGCAGGGCCTTGGCAATGACCGTGGCAAAGCTGCTGTGTCTATAGCAACCTTCCCCACTGAGAAAAGAGCGGCCAAGTCGGACTCTTTTATTCTCTCTTTTACTCTTATTTTTTTAAGGCCATGTGTGAAAACCATTGCAATAATACAAAGTGTAATGCGGAGCTAAGTCCCAACTCACGCCTGCTCCCGGGAACGCAGCTTAGTCAGCCTCTCTTCTGCTTGCTGTTGCTCCACGAACGTGCAAGCAGAGATGAGCATCATACTATCCATCCGATGGTGGATGTGTCACGTACAGATTGGGGTGGAAGGCTCAAAGCAGCACTGGTCCCACAGTGCTTCAGTACCACGGCCCTGGCAAGGCTAATTTGCTTAGCATGGCTTTTTCCCCTTTTGTTTGGTTGTGGATTGGAAGTTGAGACCTGGCTGAAAAGTTGAGGAGGTGATCCATCAACCAGGTCTTACTGGTTTCTCTGGCTCTCTCTCCCATCAGTTTTAAGTTTGTGTGCTTTTGGGGAGCACCTTTACCCAGTGAGCCACCTTGCTGGCCCATTGCGTTCCTTGTGTCCCACAAGGTCAGGCAAGGGTGTCAGATCCTCTGGAACTGGAGTTACAGGTGCTTGTGAGTCATCAAATACGGATGCTGAGAACTGAACTCAGGTCCTCTCCCAGCTACCGAATACTCTTTAACTGCTGAGGCTTCTCTCCAGCTCTTTTGAATGGGTCCTGGCTGACATCCACCTGGGTGTGCATAAGAGAGATGGCTCCAAACCGGAGGACCCCGGTTCGATTCCCAGTACCCACATGGTGGCTCACAATTGTCCAGTTCCAGGGGATCCGACCCGCTCACACAGTCGTACATGCAGACAAAACACCAATGCACATAAAATAAAAATTAATAAATCATTTAAAAAAAAGTTGCCCCAGACAACCCATTAAGTGGATAGACAGCTCTGGCTCCAATGTGACTTGGTAGAGGCCACTTGTCACTGAGGGCGTCTGCTCTGTCCCCGTGCAGGAGTAGCCCCCAAGGCCGTGGGCTGCCATTCTGCTCTCATCCACTTTCTCACTTTCTTTTGCAGGCTATCCTGATCACATGGACAAAGCGGTTCAAAGCCAGTGGTGTGGAAGGGACAGACGTGGTCAAGCTGCTGAATAAAGCCATTAAGAAGCGAGGGGTAATTTCTCTTAGGTTGTGCAAATTCGGGTATGGGACAATCTCCATCTTAAAATGGCGTACCGCTCATGCTTCCCGGAGGGGAGGGACACGGAAGTTCTGTGGTCTGAACACCCTGACAGGGGACAAGTGAGAATTTCAGCCCAGGGGAACAAGTCAGATGTGAAGTCTCAGAAGAGCCACCAGAGGTGGCCTGCGGCAGAGAGACCCTCCCGGGTAACCTGCGGGGATTAGAGCACTGGACTCTGCTTTCCTCCTGCGCATGCGCATGCAGAATTGCCAGCTGCGCTTTGGAGGCTTGCAGAGGAATGTAGGTAGCTCCGCAAGAAAAATACGCTCCCCAAAGAATCCCGAGCCAGATAATTAAGAGGACCTTGCAGTTTCCATAACGTAATCACCGCTCTCTAATCCAGTTAATTGAGTTCTGACTGCAGTGAAGCCAGCGCCACCCACTAGCTTGGTAGCGTGTGAGAATTGAAGCATGCCTGCCAAGCTTATCTCTGGGGTTGGGATTTCTGCACCCATGTGGGAGCTGATGGTGACGTTCTCTCCATCACTGGTCCTCAGGACTATGATGCTAACATTGTGGCTGTGGTGAATGACACAGTGGGGACCATGATGACCTGCGGCTACGATGACCAACAGTGTGAAGTTGGCCTGATCATTGGTAGGTGCCTCCTGAGCTCCGTCCTTTGCGCAGCCCATGAGGTCCCCTCCCCTTCCGTATGTGGTCACGACTCCCCACCTTGTTTCTCCCAGGTACTGGCACCAACGCTTGCTACATGGAGGAGCTGCGACACATTGACCTGGTGGAAGGCGACGAGGGGAGGATGTGCATTAACACGGAATGGGGAGCCTTTGGGGACGACGGGTCCCTGGAAGACATCCGGACCGAGTTTGACAGAGAGTTAGACCGGGGGTCCCTCAACCCTGGGAAGCAGTTGTGAGTAGACTTTCTCTTCCCAGCTACATATATCTAACTTAAGAAGCACTTAGTGAAAGATTGGTGGGTAGACAGGAAAGCTATAAATTCAGGTAGCCACAAATGCTGTCACCCATTGGTTTGGTTTGGTTTTGTCACACGGGTGTGGACCACGGGGCTCTGGCATGCTAGGCAAATACTCTACCACCGAGCCACATTGTCAGCCTTTAAACTGTATTTTCTTTGTTTTGAAACGGAGTCTTTAAGTTGCCTAGCTTGGTCTTGAACTTACAGTCTTCCAGTCTCAGCCTCCTGCGTAGCTGAGATGACAGGCTTGCACTATCAGCTCGCCCTCTATTTCAGATTTGCGTGACCGGACTTTTCTTACTTGGTTAGCTGTACAGCTATGGAGTTCATACCTTGAAAGGCAAGGTGGCTTAGTAGATGAGGGTGCTTCGCGTGTAAGCCTGACAACTTGAGTTCGAGTCCTGAAACCCACGTAAAGATAGGGAGAGAGCCACAGCCACAGAGTTGTTCTCTGATCTCCATGTGTGTCATGGCATGTGCGCCCATGAACACATAAATGTGCACACACACACACACGATAATAACAATTTTTTTTTTTTTAATTTAGAGCTGGAGAGATAGCTTTGTGTGTAGAACCCTGACTGCTCTTCCAGAGGACCTAAGTTCAATCCCCAATGCTCACACAGCAACTCCAAACCATAACTCCAGTTCCAGATTTGCACACAGTTCTGACTTTCACGGCGCCAAGCACACACCTGGTACACAGACATACAGGCAGGCAAAAATCTCCATACATATCAAGTCATAGATTAACTGGGCTCCATCCCTAGTATGTCATAAACTGGGTGCAGTGATACATGTCTACAGTCCTGTCATCAGGAGGTGGTAGACGAGGATCACAAGTTCAAGGTCATCCTGTGCTATAGTGTGTTCAAAGACAGCTGAGGCTACGTGAGACACCCCCCCCATCTCAAATGAATATATAAATAGCTTTGGAAGTGCCAGACACAGGCAAGGTCGTAAGCACACAGTAGCCATATTTTATGGACATGACCTGTGTGAACATGGGTCCCCTGTAGAGGAAACTAAGGCCTAGATGTGCAGTGGCAACAGAATTGAGAGGAATCGGCTGTCAGGCCCTGCTTGCCTTCTGCCAGCTCAGGGATTCCAGCCTAGACTCGGCGAGGCTCTTCCCACAGGAGCCTGGGCAGTGGCTGAACAGCCAGGCCATGGAGCTTTCCACTCTCTTCCACTCTCTGGAGCCAAGCGGGCCTGCCTGGGCCTGTCAGGAACAGGGAACAATGAAGACTGTGTTTGGAAGGGGACCGTGTGCTGTACCGACAGGCCAGGCTGGGTGCTCGAGGGCCCGGCAGCATCTTTGGCTGCTGGATGGCTCTGACTGGAACAAATTGTTTTGCTGTGTCACTGCCAGCCCTGGGGGTGCCAGCCAGCCAGCCAGCCAGCCACCCTCAGGAGGAGGTCTCTGGTCTGCGTGGCTTAGGGGTTCCTTCCGGTCTGACTCAAATATGGTGTCAAGCCCCAGAGTTCTCAGACTGAGTCTTCACTTGGCATGTGCTGTTTCCATCCACGGACTCCCCTAGGTACTCCGTCCTCATATCACATTCACTGTGAGATTGGCCCATTCCTGAATTTGGCCAGAGCAGTGGGGTGAGCTGATTGCCCAAAGCCCACCTCTGGCTGTTAGAGGGAGGCCAGAGGGCAAAGGATGCTGTGAGGGGCTGGGGATGCGTAACATACACACAGCCCTGAGTCAGAACCCCAGTACCGTATAAACCAGACCTATTAATCCCAGGTCTTCTGGAGACAGGAGACTCAGAAATTCAAGCTCATCTTTGCTGCAGATCAAACTTTAGACCAGCCTGTAACTAACTAAACAAAAAACCTGAAACCATCAGACACAGAGACAGACATCTGTTGATCTCAGCTCCTTACCAGTTCCAGGTCTCAGCTCCTGCACCCAGAAAGTGAAGATTTAGGGCTCCAGGGCTGAGGGGTCTGAGTTCCAAACCCAGATCTGCTATTGCTGTTCTTCCATGAATAGGTATATTGACTTCTCTGAACTTCAGCTTCTCCATGGTAGAGCGATCCTCAGGGGCCCATGTTATTGGGAAGCTTCCCGTCCCTGATACCTGTCATCTCCAGCTTCGTCATCAAGCACCAAGGCTGTGATCAGCATATGTACAGGGATGAGGGAGATGGTTCAGCAGCTAGGAGTATATACTGCTCTTGCAGAGGACCGAAGTTCAGGATCCATGTCAGGCAGCTCAAAACCACCCTCTGTGAGCACATATACTCTGGCATACAGACAACATACACACAACACATAATTAATAATTTTTAAAACAAGTGTACAAGTAACCACTTTCCTCATGGAGAATAGCTTCCCCCACCTTTCAAAATAGACATTTTTTTCTCTTCTATAGCATAAATTCTAATTTATTTATTTATTTATTTGATTTTTCAACACAGGGTTTCTCAGTGTAGCGTTGCCTGTCCTGGAACTTGCTCTGTAGACCAGGCTGGCTTCTAACTCAGTGCTCCGCCTGCCTGTGCCTCCCAAGTGCTGGGATTAAAGGCATGTGCCACCACTGCCTGGCTAAATTCTAATTGGTCTTAATAATAAAAACTTGGAGTTAGCTATCAGGGTGAAAGCTGAAGGGTCAGAGAAGCAGAGCAGCCAGTTACTAGAGTTCTTACCTCTGTCAATGCTCAGACCAAAGGGGCGACCCTGTCCTCAGACTGACTGCGTCAGATTGCATTCAGCTCCTGTCCCCTCCTGCCTTACATTCCTCTTCACCCAGCCATATCATTCTAGCCTCCACCTCCCTAGTGCTGGGATTAAAGGCAGGGGATCCCAAGTGCTGGGATCATCTTTATGTGAGCTCTGTTTCTCTTTTAGACTGGGTCAGTTTCCCGTAGCCCAGGGTGACCTTGAATTAACAGAGATCCATCTGCCTCTGTGAGTCCTGGGATTAAAGGTGTGCCCCACCACTGCAAGTGGCTTAGCTTGGCACTCTGATCTTCAGGCAAGATTTATTTGTTAAAACACAAACAAAATATCACTACACACTCTTCTGAGCTGGGCATTTCCTGGCTACCTCCGTTCTGGAAGGCTCTGTGGTATAGTGCTAGGAATGACGGTCCCATGAAAGTACATCATGCGGTTATGTAAGAGATGATCCTTTCGTTTGTGTGGCGCCCCTCTCACCTGTCCCCCATTCTAAATCCTAACAGTTCCCTACCTCCAGGTAGCCTTCCTCACCTGTCCTGCCCTGCAGTGTCCTGTCCTCCTGGGTGGCCACCCTGTCTAGAATGAGCGACCCGCTGTTGAACCGCACCAGTGACCTTGCCTACCACAGAGCCTGGGAGCTTGAGAGAGGCAGTGGGTCCCTTCTGCTTTTCCGCTGTCGCCTCCTTGAATGCTGACCCTGGTGTTGGAAGAGAGGGAACTTAGATACCTATGGGATCCCTTCCTGCGTCAGAGGGAACTTAGATACCTATGGATTCCCTCCTGCAGGTTCGAGAAGATGGTCAGCGGCATGTACTTGGGGGAGCTGGTCCGGCTCATCCTGGTGAAGATGGCCAAGGAAGGCCTCCTGTTTGAGGGGCGCATCACTCCGGAGCTGCTCACCAGGGGCAAGTTCAACACGAGTGACGTGTCAGCCATTGAAAAGTAGGTACCATCTGGGGGCTTAGGAGGGAGGCAGGGGCCTGCTAACTCCTGACTGGGGACAGCTTCTCCCCAAACACCAGGCTCTCGGGATCAATCTCCCCTCACCCTCAGGAGCCGACCTAACCCCGCTGGTTTATCTACACAATCTTTCTGCTAAGGTCTTTAAAAAAACAGCTGAGGGACCTAGAGAGATGACTCAGCAGGTTCAGTCCCCAGCACCCTCATGGCAGCTCACAGTCACCTGTTTCCAGGGATCCAACTTCTGGCCTCTGCAGGCGCCGAGCACGCGTGTGGTACACTAGAAAAACCACAGACATAAAAAAAAAATAAGTCTTAAGAAGAAAAAAAGAAATAACTTAGTACAAGTGTTTTATGGATAATTTTCTTGTGTGGTTTCAAAAACCGCGCCCTCCTCGCTCTTACACAAACACACACATCTCACACATACACCACACACACCACAAACACACTGCACACTCGCTCACTAGACATCCACTCCCTAACCTGACCTTCCCCACCCATGTAAGATTCTAATCAATGAAGCTGATGATTCCAGTGTTGAGCAAGGGACTGACCAAAGCTGGGCCTGGATTCTTGGAATTCCCTCTTGGTGTATCATGGCCTTTCCCAAATTGTGTTCTATGGAACCTAGAGGCGTCCAGTCAATGACTGGATAGTTCTGTGGCCTATTCATTAATTAGGATACCAATGAAACCTGACCACTGTGGCTAACCCAACATTACCCAAACTTCTTTTGAAACCAAACTGCCTCCCTGCTTCCATATTTTCTCAGAGAATGCCTGTGGACAGCCATGTTCCCTAAAATTCAAATTTAGGAACTACTGGCTAATAGATAGAAAAGGAGAAAGTCCAGGCAGCATCCTGGCCTCTGGGATCCCATGGGATGCTGAGAATCTACCATCTTGACTGTTAGGCACAGGCCTGCCTGCAGTCTGAGAGACTCACAGTGTGGTGCAGCTCAGGATCCCCAAGCCTAAAGGACTCGTGTGCCATGCATACCTTCTGTGTTCCACCGGGTCCAGGAGGCTTCATGTAGCCACGGGAGGCCATCAGCAAGACGCGAGGCATCTTGCTGCTCCGTGTCATCTGTCCCCACATGAGTTACCTGCAGCGTGACCTCACTGGTCCTAGGAAATTCACATCATGCCAGCAAAACTTTGCTTTGGCTCCGACAGTTTGAACATAGCTGTCCCTGTGGTTAGAGAAAGAGGCCACCAGGAGGACGAGCACTTTCCTGGACTCCCGCTCTTGGCCTGAGCCTTTGTTAGAGTTTGTCATTGGGTTCTCTTTTGGCTCTGGTCCTGAGATTCTGTGTGCAGGCTGTAACTTAATTTCAGAGTCACTGGTGAAGTCCTTGGCCTGTTTCTGCCATTGGGTCTTTGGTTAATGTGAACCATAACTGCAAAGAGAGGGAGGGGGATAGAGAGATTTTAAAAACTAACCTGAAACTAAAAAGATACATAAAACATGTATGCAGAAAATTAGAATTTTACAGAAAACATCGGGACATACTTGTAACCAACCCAGATCCTCAAGAGGAGAGGTTCCCCTTCACTATGAGCACTAACTCCTGGGCGGAAACAGTTCTACTTGCTCACGGGCTTTGTGTGCGGTCTCCCCTCTCTGAGGCCTGGCATGATGTAGTGTTTCCACCAGCCAGATCTTACTTAGGCAAGTGCACCCGTCCCAGGTGTTTCACAGTGCCAGGCTGCATTTTGGGTTCTGCCTTCCCCAGCTTTGCCTCCCAACTCTGGTGCTTGCTCTCCACATCCTGGCATGGTCCCAAACTCACGAAGTTTGGCCTCTCACCTCACAGGAATAAGGAAGGCATTCAAAATGCCAAGGAAATCTTAACCCGCTTGGGAGTGGAGCCGTCTGATGATGACTGTGTCTCGGTCCAGCACGTATGCACTATCGTCTCCTTCCGTTCAGCCAACCTAGTGGCTGCCACGCTCGGGGCCATCCTGAACCGCCTGCGTGACAACAAGGGCACAGCCAGGCTTCGGACCACAGTTGGTGTGGATGGTTCTCTCTACAAGACACACCCACAGTGAGTCCAGCCTATGTTGTATTTATTTATTAGTTCCCCAGTCTGAGACCAGGGCCCTTCCAAGAGGGCAGACTGCGCACCCACCACGGGTCTGGTTCGGGAAGATAAGACAGTGGGGAGTGCCTAGTTCTGGGAAATCGGGCTAGGAGTTGCTCACGTGGGACGTCCCACCCTCAGTGTCTTCTCACGCATTGTTCCTGCAGTCTACTTCTGGGTCTTTCGCTTCCCAAGGTGAGATAGTGTGTTCTAGACAGGAATGTGAGGCGTCACGTGTCTGCAGCCTGGTTGCATTTTATCCAGAGGTATGGCATCCCCTTTAGAACTGGAACTTAAGGCGGGCCGGGTGGCGCACGCCTTTAGTCCCAGCACTCGGGAGGCAGAGGCAGGTGGATCTCTTGAGTCTGAGGCCAGCACGTAAACAAAGACTAACCTGCAGCAGTTGTTTCACATTTCAGAATTACTAGAAACTTGAGACCATTTAAAAAGTTTCTGAGCCAATAGAAATCATTCTTAATCCGTTCCTTGGAGGCTATGACCGCTGGTATTTTGGGGAAACAGCTTTTCCTGTTTCCTTTGGCAGGCAGCCTTCCATGCAGCATGACACAGTTCTGTGTTTCATGCTGGCCTAAGCTTTTCTTCTAGGGAGGAGGGGAAGAGCCGAGTGGAAATAAAAACAGAACAAGAGGGGTGACTGAGCCCTGTCTCTGCGCTAGTTCCTTCTGTCAGCTCCTCACCAAACCCATTTTTTTCTCAGCACTCCACCTTCAGGCGCTGGTCTCCCTGAGTCCAAGGTCAATACTGGCTCAGGTCACTTGCCTTGGCAGCAGCAGTGCTCACTCACCCCGTTTCTTGGATTGAAGCACTTGCCTTCGGCCCCTGTGACACTTTTAATACAGCAGAGGAAAGAACTCCCCCTCCCTTTCTTTTTATCATTTGAAACAAAGTCTTTCTGTGTAGCCCAGGCTGGTCTGAAATTGACTGGTCTGGAGCTAGTGGTGGCAGGCTTTCTGATTCACACAAGATGGTATGGGCCCTTGAATTTTTTTTTTTTTTTTTTTTTTTGTAGGTAAAACTCATTGTAAGCAGTTTTGGATAATCTCCCTTTCCGTGCTTGTGTGTGTGTGCACGTGTGTGTGTTACACATTCCTATAGTGTGTGCCTAAGGAAAGCAGTAGAGAGAATGGGATTAGCATTGCTGACTGGAGAGTTACCAGATGCCCCGACAGGTAGCTTGGTCCGACTGTGGCGGCACACCCACTTCCACCTTCTCCCTCAGGTATTCCCGGCGTTTCCACAAGACCCTGAGGCGCCTGGTGCCTGACTGCGATGTGCGTTTCCTCCTCTCAGAGAGCGGCAGTGGCAAGGGGGCTGCCATGGTGACCGCAGTGGCCTACCGCCTGGCCGAGCAGCACCGGCAGATTGAGGAAACCCTGGCCCACTTCCGCCTCTCCAAGCAGAACCTGATGGAGGTGAAGAAGAGGATGCGGGCAGAGATGGAGATGGGGCTGAGGAAGGAGACACACAGCAAGGCTACCGTCAAGATGCTGCCTTCTTTTGTCCGGAGCATCCCGGATGGGACTGGTGAGGGCTTGTTGGGACTGCCACACCTCTGTCCCAAGAACCAGGGGGGCTGGATAGGGGACATTTTGGACCCCTCCCAAGGATGCTTTTGCACTGGTAATGCCTAATTTGACAAGAGCTGGAATCTTACCCATCCCAATGTGTGTGTGTGTGTGTGCATGCGCTTGTGCTCTGGAGTTTGAGGCCAGCTTCAGCTATATTGTGAGTTTGGGGCCATCCTCAGCTACATTGTGAGTGAGTTTGGGGCCAGCCTCAGCTACATAAGACAGACTAATAGAATAATTCACACACTCCTTTTCAGTAGTAGCAGGGTATGTGTGAGGGAGATGGGCCTGGGGCTTTGCATCCTTGGACAGGTTGGAGAAACATCCTGCCCCTCACTGCCGCTACTTCTGAGGAAAGATTTTTGAGTGGATCCTCAGAATAATGACTAACTGGGGTAGAAAAAAATCTTAGAGCTAAGTTACTTATTGCTTAAATTTGTAAATCACTCTCAAATTTAGTGGCAGAGATCAACTACCATTTACAGTGGCCACGGGCAATTCTGTTCCAGGCCAGGCTCTGCTGAGGGTCAGCTGAGAGGCCAGCCTCAGCCTTTTCTGGATACCCAGGGTCAGCGTGGCTAACCATGGCTTTCCCACCAGTGGGCTACTGCACTCTACCGAAGGGTCGAAGCAGGATCTGGAAGCCATGGCTTGAACCCCAGAACCCCAAAAGGAGAGAAATAGGTTCCTCCATTTTTCAGTGGCAAGACGCTGAAATAGCTTGCACCCACATTGCAAAGAGGGAAGAGAGGCTGTGGCCATTTTTAGGTTGCATACATTGATACAAATTATGCATGTTTTGATATGAGGGTCCTAAAGTCAAGATACTGTTGTCCGGTTTTTAAGTAACCCTGGTGAAGTTTAGCTATTGTGACCAATAGTTCCCTCCTGGGTCCACCCTTCTATTACCAGCCCAGCTTGTCACTCAGAGTCCAGCTCTCCTTTGAGGTCGTGCTGGATATCACAGGCAACATTTATCACGGTCCCTGAAATGCGGGATGGGGGCAGTTGCGGGCAGCAGGGCAGCAGCTACCAAGACGCACATAGCCACCTGTGGCTTTCTCTGTGTTTTTCCTTGTGACAGAGCATGGTGACTTCTTGGCCTTGGATCTCGGAGGAACAAATTTCCGTGTCCTGCTGGTGAAGATCCGTAGCGGGAAAAAGCGGACGGTAGAAATGCATAACAAGATCTACTCCATTCCCGTGGACATCATGCAGGGCACCGGGGAAGAGGTAAGGGGCACGTACGCATGCCTGTCGAGGGTGCATTGGTGGTCACGGGATAACCCATACCTGCCACGTGACGCTGTAGCTGTCCCTGTGGCCCTAAAACATCAAGTTTTTTTGTGCTATGCCTTGCCCATGATTCTAGGATATGAAGTTACCAGAGAAAGGAGCTTTGCATGCGTGTGTGTGTGCATGTGTGCGTGCGTGTGTGCATGTTTGCATGCTGAAACTGAGAAACCAAAGAGAGCCTCGCTAACCCGTTTCTTCTCTCTTAAAGCTGTTTGACCACATTGTCTCCTGCATCTCCGACTTCCTGGACTACATGGGGATCAAAGGCCCCCGGATGCCTCTGGGCTTCACCTTCTCGTTTCCCTGCAAGCAGACGAGTCTGGATTGTGTGAGTCTCTTTCCTGTGCACAGCAGATCTCTGACAGTGCTGACTTCATGTGGTTAGGGCTTTCTCTGACCTCAACGCTGTCCTTAGATGTCTGGGACGGTCTTACATGTCTTATGGGTCACTTCCAGAACACCCTAAGACTACTCTTCTGTCATTGTTGAAAGGAGCCATCTTGCCAGGTGATGGTGAACTCCTTTTATCCCAGCACTTGGGAGGCAGAGGCAGGCAGATCTCTGAGTTTGAGGTCAGCCTGGTCTACAGAACAAGTTCCAGGACAGGCAGAACTACATTGTCTCCAGGCACAAAGAACCATGCCCTTTTCTGTTTCCCTGTGTCCTTGGCTGCCACCTTCGTTGTAGAACTTTGCACACCTCCTAAGTAGCTCACTAACTCTTTCCTTCTTTCCTTCCTCCCCAACCCCACTTCTTTTCCCCCTGTTCCTTTACCCCAGACTGGCTGCCAACTTGGTTGTGAAGCCTTTGATCTCACCACTGCCACCTCCTAGGTCCTGGAGTCACAGGCATGTGCCACCACGCCTGATTTATGTGTGCTGTCATGGAACCCAAAGCTTTGCCCATGCTAGGCAAGCACTCTGCCAGCTAGCCTCATCCTCAGCCCCTAGTGGCTTTCCTTTTGGCTGGTTGTATGGCAAGGAGCTGGATGCCCATAGGCCCTGGCACAGTGCGCTGTTAGAACAGACTTTTGTGTAAATGCCTGAGAAAGCGATGGGTGAAATGGGTCCCAGATGGGGCTTGGGTGTGGGGATGGGTGAAGGTTCCTTTTAGGACTCAAACCCAAGACAGGTCTCACTCAGTACCTGTGGCTCCTCCTAACAGTTCTCGCCCTGCCCCCTCCCCTAAACCTCTCCTTCCCAGGGGCTGATCCCATCAAACAGCCATTTTGGCTACACCAGGCTCCTCTTTTGGTTGATGCCTACACTCTTGCTTCCCCTCCCCTCAGGTCTAATCTGCCAGCCATGTTCAACCTGGACTCTTCCCTCGGCTTGCCTTCTGCCGTGAAAATCATCTCCCTCCTTAGGAGTCCTGTCATCCTCCTATTTCATTACCTTTTCTGTCCTTAGCGATCTATACCAGTGCCAGAGTCAGAACCGTGTGCCAGCTCTCAGCTGTGCAGGAAGGGCCACGGGTGGGTGGACATATTGGGGACAGAGGGATAAGATTATGCGGGACCGCTGAGGGAGGAACAGCCAGCCTGTCTGGAAGATCTGTAGGCAGCCAGTCATGTCACAAGTGGAGACATGGCCAGGGAGAGACCCCAGGTGATGGTCTACGGCCTGATTGGCAGTGCTGGAGAGCTAAGGAAGTTGATGTCGTCAGCCATTAGGCCATGGTGCTGACCTTTAAGCCTTTTTAGATATCAGCAGTTGATTCTTTTTTTTTTTTTTTTTTTTTTTTTTGAGGCAGGCTCTTATGTTGCCCAGGCTGGCCTCAGATTCCTTATGAAGCCAAGAATGGCCTAGAATTTCTAATCCTCCTGCCTCTACCTCCCATGTGCTGGCATTATTATGAGTGTATACCGGCACACCTGGTTTGTACAGTGCCCGCTCAAAGCTAGGGCTTTGTACGTGTTAGGCAAGCACTCTGCCCGCTGAGCAACATCTCTAGCCCTAAACTTTTGTCATTGCAGTTTTCAGAGGTCTGTAGCTCAGACTAGCCCAGAACTTACGTGCCCTAGACTGCTCTTGAACTGAAGGATAATATGTTTGCTTCAGCCACTCAAGTAATGAGATTCTAGGTGTGGGCCACCACATCCATCAGGATGACTCTTCTGTCACCTCCCACTCCTGTAGTGCACACACACACACAGAGCGCGCTTGTATAACTATAGTTTTGCGTTCCTTCCGTTACAAGGTCAGCAACCAACCTTACGTGCCTCTGTTTCTCCATCTGTGAGGTGGGATTGGAGAAGAGATAGCTGTGAAGATGGAGGGGGTCAGCCCACAGGGCCTCCTCACTCACACTTTATTATATTGAGTGTGATGTCCTGGCATCTAGACACAGCCTCCGTGGTTATTGCCGGGGAGGGAGGGTATCAAATTCTCCTGACTATAGAAGGGTTACTCACCCAGGCTCTTTGGCTGCTTCTCTTGTAGGGAATCTTGATCACCTGGACAAAGGGTTTCAAGGCCAGCGACTGTGTGGGTCACGATGTGGTCACTTTACTGAAGGATGCCATAAAGAGGAGAGAGGTAATTCAATATTTTTAAAATAATTTTTTTTTTGCCTTAGGGGGGTTTACAAAAATTAAGCTTGCTTCTTTGTGAAGAATTGGAACACCATAGAAGCATGTAATTAGGGGACAGTAGAGGTGTCCCCAGTCACTGCCAGCATTAAAGTGACACTTCTCAGCTTTATATTGTTAAGGATAATATGGGAGCTGGAAAGAGCCTGCCACCAAGTCTGGTGACCTGAGTTTGGGTCCCAGAACCCACATGATGGAGGGGGAGAATTAACTCCTGTGGTTTATCCTGTGGTGTATGTGTGTGCATGTGCGTCACACACGATAAAGAAATAAGGGGCTGGAGAGATGGCTCAGAGGTAAGAGCACTGGCTGCTCTTCCAGAGGTCCTGAGTTCAATTCCCAGCAACCACATAGTGACCCACACCCATCTATAATGAGATCTAGTGCCCTCTTCTGGCATGCAGGTGTATGTGCAGACAGAATGCTGTATTTATACATAATAAATAAAGGGATGATATACTCAAAGAGGGGAAAAGTCATGGAAAGAGAGAAGCAGTTCCTAAGAGCCCATACGGCCAGGTACTGCGGGGGTTCCCAAGCAGCACATGTGAACACCCTTAGAAGATATTGCTACTCTGTGTCAAAGTACAGACCACTGTCAAGAAATCAGCCCAGGTTCCCAGCAGCATCCAGTCCACAGCATGAACAAGCACGATTCAAGCTGGCCCTTCCCTAAGACCCATGTCCCTTTCTTTTCCAAGGAGTTTGACCTGGATGTGGTGGCCGTGGTCAACGACACGGTGGGCACCATGATGACCTGCGCCTATGAGGAGCCCACCTGTGAAATTGGACTCATCGTAGGTAAGTGTCCTGCCTGGTTTGTAGAGATCCGGCAGCTCAGTTCTTAGTTGGAGACAGTCGATCTGTTGGTCCCATTTATTTACTATTCTATATTGGAGAAAGGCTGCAGGGTTCCATTCCCAACATCCCATAATGCACATCAATTATGATTGGACTGTCAGTCAGTGAACTCTCCAGGAAAGAGGCCACAAACACCCCCCCCCTCCCCCCCAAAAAAATCCTTATGTGTCCTGGGTAGATGGAGTAGGGTGTCTGGAACCAGCCTGTGTGTCAGAGCCCCAGGGCTACAGGCTCACAGGCTGCAAAGGAAGCAGAGAGCATCTTCACTCCTGACCATGGTCTAGCTGGAAAGGGCTAGTGTGATTTTAGACATCATTCGCCATCAGTAGTCACTGTCTAAATGGCCCCAGCCCTGTAGGTTGTTGCCTTGTGTTCCAAACATGGCAGAGACCCAGGCCTCAATAGCGTGAAACTGTATGTGTGTCCATGTGATGGATGGACAGTATGTGTGCAGGAATGCATGTACCCCACAGTGCATATGGGGGTCCAAGGACAACCTGCGGTGTTGGTCCTCGCTTCCATCTTGAGATGGCGTCTCTTGTTTGCCTCCTATCTTGCTATACAGGTAATAGAATTATAGCCACGCACTGTTGTGCTGGGTGTGTACATGAGTTCTGGGGATTTGAACTTAGCTCCTTTTGCTTGCTCGGCGAATGCTGCCCCCACTGAGCTGTCTCCCTAGCCCGAGAACATTAAATTCCTGAAGCACTCTGACTAGGGTGAGAAAATCCTTTGACCTAGCATCAGGGGACGCGAGAAAAATGAAGTGCCCTCTATTCATTCTTGCTGGTATACTAAAACAAACTAACAAAATCAACCTAGGGGAGAAAGGGTTCATTTTCGCTCCCAATTCCAGGTTAGAAACAGGCAAGAACCTGGAACAGCTAGCCACATCCTGTTCATAGAGTAGAGAGAATTGAATGCACAGGCTGACACTTGCTTGTGCTCAACCTGACTTCCCCCCTCGTATCCAGTTCAGGACCCCTGCCTAGGGGATGGTGCTGCCCTCAGTGGACTGGGTCTTCCATATCAAGCCAATGCAGACAATCCCTCATTAAGACTGTCTTCCCAGCTGAATCTAGGCTGTTGTCGTGTTGAGTTGGCAATTAAAGTAAACTATTGCACCTCCCCCAACACTTCCTTAATCGCCAACATCCGCAAACACTACTTACTACTTGGATAGCATGAAATGTCACCCCGGTCTCAGGATCATTTCCGGTGTCTGGAGGTTGGGATGGGGCTCGCAGGTTGTCCTCTGTGCCAGGAAAGCTTTCGTATCAATTATTAGTCACTTCACGTGACTGCTGTGAAAACAGAAAATCAGGAAGCAGGTCCGAGTGGAAGGCGTTTGGCGTCTGCCCCGAGACTTTATTTATCCCTTCCTTTGGCAAAGCTTTCTCCACCCAGCCCTGCCCAGCCTTTTACCTGTTAATGGATTTGGTGGGACCTGCAGAGCCAGAGTGACTAGGCATATTTTCTCTCAGGCCAGGCCTCACCTTCCTGCCTGGGAGCAAAAGTCTGTCCAGGTCGGCACAGTGCTATCAGAGGTTCTGGTGCCAGGATTCAGGCGTTCTTTCTTGCCACCATCCAGAGATCTCTTTGCTCAGACTTCTTGTGGCCAAGAATACAGTTTACGTATCTTGGCTTTCTTTGCATCTTCTATTTCCGGGACTTCTTTTTTTTTTTTCTCTTCCTTTATACTTTGGGTAGAAGGGAATTGAGAAAACAGTAACAATCCAGTGGTATTGTTGGGAGGAGTGCCTTGGGAACTCTGCTTAAGTTTTTCAGAGGGTTTATGCCTTTGGTCTGGCCAGTGAGGTGGGGGAGAGGGACATATCCTTGAATGAGATGAATGCTGCCCACATCCCCGAGGGCTTTGCTATAGTAATGCAGTTTATAGGCAGCTGCACCACCAGGAACCTCACTCCAAAACCCTTGAGTCGAGATTGAGTGAAAACGAGGACATGGCCACTCCAGGGTATGGTTGAGGAGAAGGTTTTTACTGTAGGTATGAGAAAGAGTTCAGCCAGAGGCATCTGGAAGAGTCCAGACTGAACGTGGCCAGCATGATAGACCGGGCTGTGAGAGGAGAGAGGTGGGGGGAGGAGCAGGAGAGAAAGGACCAAGAGAGCACATGGGAATCAGGAGGCCAAGAGAGGAACCAGGAGCCAAAAGAGCACAGGGACAAAATGACTAAAAGGAAAGGGAAGCTGGGGGAGGGGAGCCCAGGCTTAGGGTGGGGGGCAGGGTGAGAAGTGTGGGAGGAGCCACATCTCAGGTTGCTTTGAAACCTACCAAAGATCTTCATGAGCATGGCCAGAGCATCTGTAGGAAGGTCTTCTTGCCTGAGTTCCGGTCTGTGCAGTAAGACAATGACCTCCAGTGACCATCAGCCTGTGGCCATGACATTAAAACTACCGTCAGGGCTAGCGGCGTGAACCTCAGTGGGCAAAGGCACCTGCCGCCATGCCTGATAGATTGAGTCTGATCCCCAGGTTCACTCCACAAGAGAACTGACTCCTGCAAGTTGAACTCTGACTCCACGCATGCGCGGGCCTGGAACTCGTACAGTATAAAAATAACCAAGTGCTCTGAAAGTTTGTTTACATAGCCCCTTGGGCTAAAACTGCAACTTCTGCTCCTCTCCCTGGGTCCTGGGGGATACCAAGTAAGACATGCTCTAGGGAGTTCAAGAATGGAAACCGGAGGCTTCTGAGCCCTGGGAATCAAACTGCCCAGAGGGATGTTCCTTGTCTCAGATCAGCAGGTATTCTATGAGGTCTGTGTCCCTCATCAGATAGGAGGGAGCCTTGTTGAGACAATGTCCCCATAAGATTGGGCTGTAGGCAAGCCTGTAGGGCATTTTCTTAATCAGTGATTGATAGAGGAGGGCCCAGCCCACATTGTAGGTGAGACCATCCCTGGGCTGGTGGCTCTGGTTTCTGTGAGAAAGCAGGCTGAGAAAGCTAGTGAGCAGTACCCCTCCATGGCCTCTGCATCAGCCCCTGCTTCCAGGTTCCTGTCCTTATTTCCCACAGTGATGAGCTAAAATGAACCCTCTCTTCCCCCATGTTGCTTTGGTCAGTGTTTCAATAGTAACCCTAATCAAGACAGTCTGTGATACCAGCCAGGCAAAGGACTGTTGCATAGAAAGGTGGGATGCAAGCCCCAGCGCTCAAGTGTCTGTTGACTAGGTGTAGTTCATGACTGCCCTGTATGAGAAAGGACGAATGGATGAGGTGGGAAGATAGTCCTCTGGCCGCTCACTGTGTTCGCACAACCCTGGTATGCATATGTATGAATTATAGGGGTGCTTGCACAGGTGCGTGCGTGCGTGTGTGTGTGTGTGTGAGCACGTGTGCGTGTTCCCCCCCATCTAAATATTGCCTGAACTCCCACTAGTCATACATTCCTTTATTGTAAGAGTATCTACCAACCTACATATAGCCCTGGCTGAACAGGTCGACAGGTGAGGTTTTAGGTAAATAAAGTAAATCAGTCAAAGTTTGGTGTCATGGGAGGTGGTGGTGGACACATGAGGATTGCTGCAAGTTCAAGGCCAGCCTGGTCAACAGAGTGCCAAGCCAGTCAGGATTACACTAGAAAACAAAGATGTTTTGCTCATTAAAACAAACAAACAAACCACAAAACACACACTCAGCTGGGCAGTGGTGGTGCAGGCCTTCTAATTCCAGCACTGGGGAGTCAGAGGCAGGTGGATCTCTGTGAGTATGAGGCCAACCTGGTCTACAGATTAAGTTCCAGGACAGCCAGGGCCACATAGAGAAATCCTATCTTGAAAAACTATTAATATATATATATATATATACACTATATATAATGTATTACAATATATAATACATATAAATTCATTAGTATATGAATGTGAATATATAATAGTTTATATATAATATATACTACACACATGCTGAGGGCTGGGGACGTAGCTCAGTTGGCAGAATGCAACTGAGTGCACCCAGCCCCCTTCCTCCAAGGCTCAGGGGTCACTATGGGAGAGGAGGCAGAAAACTATAAGAGCCAAAGGCTGCTGTAGAAACAGTCTTTTAGGCTCTGACTGAAAGCATGACCTGTGCGAGATCGAGACAAGATGGAGGCAGACAAAAATTCCAGCACGGGTCTGGTGGGTGTCATGAATTCTACCTCTAGCTGCGGAGCTGTTAGCAGTCAGTGTGTGCGGGGAGGGAGGCTTAGTTTTCTTCAGAGTTGGGTCCCTGAGAGGTTCCCAGTGCTCTGCAGATGGTCCCACCCTAATGCACATGCAGGCAGCACTAACTGGGTTCTGTGGGTATTGGGGGGGGGGGGGCACGTGAAGTTGGGAGGGAAAAGTGGTGGAGGGTGGGGGGAGGAAATGGGGCATAATTAATTTAAATATATGCATATATTAATATTAAAGAATTTTTAAGTAGCTCTTACCTGACGTCGGAGCTCCAGGTGCAAAGACGCCTTGGCACGGGCCCCATCATTCACCTCTGCCCCTGTGTTTTAGGGACTGGCAGCAATGCCTGCTACATGGAGGAGATGCGGAACGTAGAGATGGTGGAGGGGAACCAGGGGCAGATGTGCATCAACATGGAGTGGGGTGCCTTTGGCGACAACGGATGTCTGGATGACATCAGGACAGACTTTGACAGAGTGGTGGACGAGTATTCCTTAAACGCTGGGAAACAGAGGTAATCAGCCCACGAAGCAGCTCCGCGCATGCGGGGTGATGTGGTCCGCGTTCTGTTGCTGGAGGAAGCGTTTCTAGATGGAGGAGTCTGCGCAGAGGCTTGGAAAGCCATCCCTCTGGTATTATACTAACCTTGGGTTTTTGATTCTTGGCACAGTGCAGGATTATTTCCAGAAGTGATGGTGACAGCAGACACACCGCCTCATTTGCCCTTTGGGGGTCTCAGAGTTTAGCCAAGCCCTGTTTCTTCCCTAGGGTGGACGAAGTAGATGCCATTCCAACTGCAAGCTCCTGCGCCCCCTAGTGACCGCTCCAAGTTTTGCAGCTTAGGTCATAGATTAGTTCTAAAATGGCAGCGTCCACCCAGAAATGAAGTGGCTGCCCCAGTCTCCCAAGAATCAGGATATTCAGTGGCATAGCCAGGACAAACTTGTCCAAGTCATGTCTTTTGGAAAATAAACTGGCTCCAGTTTAACCCGAAAGTGTTGTGGCCCACCCGACTTTCCTCCACTTTGGGCTTAATCTGCATTTGGTTGATGGCAAAACCATCCAAGAACTAAACAAAACAAAACAAAACAAAAGACTTAGCAGTTTGCTTAGTCTAAAACTGCCCTCAAACGCTTTACTGAGGGACTTGTGCTGTGTTGGGCTGTGACCTCACGGAGACACCCACCCCCGTCCTCTCAGGGCCATCAGTGTGGAGGAAGGGAGCCTGTGTGTGTGCTGTAAAAGGGTGGGTGTGTGAGCGCCTGGAAGAGCGGGAGCCAGTCTGGGTGGGCCTCTCTGGGGTGTGGCTAAGAACCGAGCAGGATGGGGCCTGACAAAGACCAGGTCGTCACTGGGAGGGAAGCCACCCAGCACAGTTTTCTGTGACCGCTGAAGGCATCGATGTGGGGAGGGTAGAGGGCTTTCTAGGTCCCTCTCTGCCTGTGTGGGGACACACAGGGCAGGCATGTGACTGGTCAGACCCTGGCCAGGCAGTCCTAGATCCAAGTGACCGCTGGACTGCAAGGGTGAGCAACCCCCTGCTCAGCACCCCCCCCCCTCTTAATTCAGGTTTGAGAAGATGATCAGTGGAATGTACCTGGGTGAGATAGTCCGTAATATCCTCATTGACTTCACCAAGAAAGGCTTCCTCTTCCGGGGACAGATCTCCGAGCCACTCAAGACGCGAGGCATCTTTGAGACCAAGTTTCTCTCTCAGATTGAGAGGTGAGGAGGGAGGGTGTTTTTTCCCACCATTTTGCTTTCTGCTTCTCTGAATTGGACTATTCTGGGTGCCTTGTGGAAGCAGAGTCCTATGGTAGGAATTTATTTGCGCTTAGAGCGCTATCACTCCACTTAGCATAACATTTGTAAGGCCTGAGTAATATTTCATTGTGCATAGCTATCACATTTTGCTTTCCCGCTTCTACTACCTGGCAGCTTGGGTTGTTTCCACCTTTTCATGTCTCTGAATAATGCTGTGAACATGGGGGAGTAAATATTTATTTGGTCCTTTTATGTCTCTCATGAATATACAAGTGGACTCGCTGGACCCATTTTAAATTTCCTGAGGAACTACTATATTGATTTTCAAAATGGCCACTCTATTTGACATTCCCAGCATCCTCACTCAAAGTTACCAGTTTCTGACAGTCTAATAGTAAATGAGAAGAAAAGAGCGAGCTACATAAATTCTATAGGGTCTTTTTAAAATTAGTATTTGGGAGAAGGAAGCAAATAGCTTTGAGGAAAAAACATTTGCTCTGTATGTGACAAGAGGCAGAAGCATGGCACGAGGTGGGGCTGGGGGCCAGATCCCAAAGTTCTGATCCTGAGACCTGCCCTTGACTGTGGGCCTCATTCCCTCCTCTTTAAAATGGGAACAATGAAAGCTGGGTATAATGTGCAGGGCAGAGGGTCAGGAGTTTGAGGCCAAACCTACTACATAGTGAATTTGGGGCCAGCCTAGGCTGAGATTCTGTCTCAAGTGCAGAGAAAAGTAGTGGTTGTATCCAGGCCGTGCATATAAAACACATGCCGTGTAAGTCCTTGGGAAAGGCTGGCCATTCTTATTTCAGCTTTCGGTTTGCTGGAAGGGAAGCCAGCCTTGGGACACGCTAGATAGTTGGTGTGGCCACTAAGTGCGGGAACAAAGGCCATCTTGCTAAGAGAAGAATGCCAATTAAGCCAGTGTGGTAAGAAATGGCATTTTAAAAAAAGATGATTGTGTGTCACAGCGTGCGCACACGGCAGTCAGAGGACTTCAGTAGCTTCTTCCCTCCCTCCACCTTGCTTTTGAGGGGGCGACTCTCTTGTTTCAGGCTGGTCACCCATCTCACTGTGGGGTGCTTCCAGCTTTTGACATGGGTTCTGGAGTCGATTTTGGTTCATTATGCGTTCATACCCAGTGCTTTACTCGTGGGCCACCTCACAGCCCCGATATGGCTCCTAGGAAAGGGAGGTAGGCAGATGGTGATGGCCCCAAATTCACTATGTAGCTGAGTTTGGCCTCGAACCCCTGACCCCGGGCCACACTCTATCTTAAGAAAAAGGAGGAAGGGTAAAAATCTAAAACTGTGAATAGCAGTTTCTCTAAGGTATTGGGACTATGGTTAGTTTCTCGATTTTCATTTTTCTAGGTTTTTTCCATATTTTATAGTTTAGCATATACTTACACACTTTTGAACTCATTAGAAAAAAGTTTTCCTCCATCTTCCTAATGCTGAGACCCTTTAATACAGCTCCTCATGCTGTGGTGAGCCCCAGCCATAGAATTATTTTGTTGCTTCTTTGTACCTGTAATTTTGCTGTTCTGAATGGTAATGCCAAGACCTGTATTTTCCAATGGTCTCAGGCGACCCTCGTGGTCATTCACCCACCAATGGATCGCAAGCCACAGGTGGAGAACAACTGGTTTAAAGGGATGAGGTAGAGAGGTGGCCATTGGTTAAGAGCATGCGCTGCTTTTGGAGAGGACCCAATGAGTCAGTCAGGTGGCTCACAGCCACCTGTCACTCCAGTTCCAGGGAACTCGACAGCTGTGGCTGCCACAGGCACCCCATGACTCGTGTACACACTTACACACACAATTTTAAGTTGAGGGTGGGAGACACAGCCTGGCTTATAGCTATTCTAGAGGCCCACAGTGTGATTTCAGCCTGTGCAGTTAGGCAGGCCACAGAATCTTGCACATCCAGCGCCAGAGAATCCGACATCCTCTCCTGGCCGCCATGGCATAGACATAGACACAGACACACCTACCTACAAATATATATTCCTTGCATTTAAAAAGCTAACCAGAAAGGAAACAACCCCCCATGATGTCATCTACAGCCCAGCAGAGTGCTTTGGGCCGGGCCCTTTGCTCCAAGGGGGGCATGCTCCATCCAACTCACTGGCTCTCGTCCTCCACAGCGACCGGTTAGCGCTACTGCAGGTACGGGCCATCCTTCAGCAGCTGGGTCTGAACAGCACGTGTGACGACAGTATCCTGGTCAAGACTGTGTGTGGGGTGGTGTCCAAGAGGGCCGCGCAGCTGTGTGGTGCTGGCATGGCCGCCGTGGTAGAGAAGATCAGGGAGAACAGAGGACTAGAACATCTGAACGTGACCGTGGGAGTGGACGGGACGCTCTACAAGCTTCATCCGCAGTGAGTACACAATTCTCCATGGGAATGCACGAGCCCGAGACGAGTGACCCCGGTGTTTGAAGGGAGTTTAGGGAGCCAGGGAAGGGCTTCACTGAGCAGCTCACACGAGCGTGGTGTGGCGCTGTCCCCCTCTGAGAGTATGTGTGTGAAAGAGTGAGAGAGAGAGAGACGGCCTACTGTGATTGGTAAGAGGGCATTCAGAACCAGGGAGGTGACCTGTTATCTGGTTCACCAGTCAGTTTAGGCCAGGGCTCTGCTGCGGGAAGGGAACCTTTTCGTTAGAGTAGTGAACCTGCTCTTGAACCCATTGTATGTTCCAAAGTTGGGGTCTCAGGAGCAGACCCCAGCGTGTCTGGACAGAAGCCCTCTGTATTAGTCAGGGATCTATAGAGGAGCAGAACTGGAGAGGATGAATCTCCTTTAAAAGTAGGTTTATTAGAGTGGCCTACAGGCTGGGAAAGACTAGGAAACAATGGCTGTCTCCCAACAGAAAAGGCCACCTCTCCGGAGGAGGCTGGACATCTTAGCTGGTCTTCAATCCAATTCGGAATCCTGAATACCAGTGAAGGAATGCCTCAGCAACTAGATGGATGCACTTGGCAGGGAGGGCAATCAGGCATAAAGCAAAACCTTCCTCCTTCCATGTCCTTTTATGTGGACTGTCGACATTTAGGTGTGGCCTACATTTAGGGTGGATTGTACCCCCTCCAATAATCCAATCAAGGAAAATCTCAGATGTTTGGGTTTTAGTTAATTCTAGATGTGGTCAGGTTGACAACCAAGACTAGCCATCACCTAACTGGACTTGTTAGAAAAGTTTAAAGCAGGGGTTCCCAACCCTCCTAATGCCCACAGTCTGAGCCATCACTTAGAAAGTTATCCAGCGGGCTTGCGACTCAGTTCGCAGAGTGCTTACCTAGCATGCGAGCAGCTCTGGATTCCATGCCCAGGACAACATAAACCAGGCCGCTGAAGGATCTTGAGGCTGCCCTGGACTGCCTCACCTCAGTGATTCTAGCTCCTGGAAGGACTAGAAATTATGTGTATCGAGTATGGAAACCCCTAGCAGGTGTCCAACAGAGGCAAGTGTCACTGTTCAGAGCCTTAGCCTGACTCTGTCGTGTTTAGCACAGAGTCTCAAGGGTCACCTCCCTTCTTTTATGGGGCTGCTTTCTCCTGCTGTAGGTACGGGTTGCCAGCTCTGGAGGAGATGAGTTCGGCGTCTTAGGCTGCATGTTTCCAAGCTCCAGAAACTCTGTTTGTTTCAGGTCCCCTAAGACCACCAAGATCTTGGGTGGGGCTGGGTTACAAGTTGCTGAGTCTGAGATCTATATTTATCCATTCTTCCCTGTTGGGGACTCTGATGGCACACCTGACCATAAGCCTGCATCTCCAGCCCCTCTCAACCATGCCTGGTTTTTGTTGTAGAATTTCTGTTGTATATTTTTAACATACATACCTCCTGTAGCTTAGGTTGACCTAAAACTTAATGGTTGACCTTGGATTTGTTATCTTTCTGGCCTCCACCTCCCCAGTGCAGGGAAGCAGATTCAAGGCCTGGGCCTCCTGAATGCTAAGACAGGCACTCTACCACCTGAGGGAAGCGAGTTTGCAGCCCAGCCACAGCTGACCCACTCTCCCCTTTTTCCGTCTTCTTAGCTTCTCCAGAATCATGCACCAAACCGTGAAGGAACTGTCACCAAAGTGTACCGTGTCCTTCCTCCTATCTGAAGACGGCAGTGGCAAGGGGGCCGCCCTTATCACAGCTGTGGGCGTGCGGCTCAGAGGAGAGGCTACGACCGCCTAAGCACCAGGATCCTCCCAGCCCCCAGCCCACCACCCTTCCAGCACTCCTGTCTAGAACCGATGACCCCTGTTCCACCCAGCAAGCCCTGCTGGGAGACCCAGCGCCGGAGCCCACAATGCCGCCGAGGGAGGAAGGGGACCACGGTAATGGAGCTCACTATAGAATACCACACAGAGTGCGTGCTGTTGATCTCGCGCCTGGACCCCTTGACCCCCACCCTGCCACTCTGCATGAATCAAGTTCGACCTGGCCATGCTTTGCCCATGCGTGAATGTAGTGGCACCAAGTCTATGGCAGACGTCCAGCCAGGAAAGAGTCCCCCTCTCGGACCCACCTTCTGGGCCTTTCAAGCCGGTCCTTTGGAGTCTCCTCCCCACCCTGTGTGAAGTGTATAATCACCAGCAGACACTGCCGAGTCCTGCCCACAGGGGCATGGCCTGAAGGGCCAGCGTGATACGTGACGCTGACTGCTGCTGTCTCCTTCCCCTCCCAGCACCCGCTGCAGCCTGCCATCCCGTCTGGATGTATCGATGCCACTGAATTGTTGTGTCCGTGGAACCAGTCCTAGCCACGTTATGACAGTCTTGCATTTTGTTTGTCTTGTGGTTGTGGTGGTGGTGGTGGTTGGTGGTGGTGGGGTAGGTGGGCAGTCCTGTGGGAAAACATCTTATCTCCATCTTGATGGAAGGAACCAACCCACATGACGACGACGACGCCATCACTGGAATCTCCCATTGCTTTAGTGAGCCTTGTTGTACGACTAGTAAACTTTGTACCAACTCAAAACCCTGGACTGCAGCTTCTTGTGGGGGAGGGGATCTTAGGATATGGTTACAGCCAGGCTGGGGGTTTTTATGAGAAAGTTCAAAAGCATCATAGGTGTGCCTATAATCCCAGCATTTGGGAGGTGGGGGCAGGAGTTCAAGGCCCCTCTTGTATAGTTTCAGGCCAGTCTGTCCTACATGACATTCATCTCAAATGAATCAATAAGAAAGTCTCCAGGCCTGGGAGTTAGTTCAGACAAGGGCTTCTCTACTTCAAAATATCACAGAAGCAGCCTCAGGACCTGCCCTGGAGTCCCCACACCCTAAGTCCCAACCTCATGGCCTAGAAAAGCGTCTGTCCTTTGGTTGGGGGACAATAAACATGACCTTCTGGGGCTGGCTGGATTTAGTGAGGAGGCAATGCGAGTCTTTTTAGCAGGGGTATTGGGTAGTTGTCGAGATTTCAAGGTCGGTCCCTTGGACAGACAAAGAAATGAATGTCCAGAAAGACAGAAGACCAAGCCATGGGAAAAAAGCAATCACTTTGGGAGAGGAGGGCCCTTAAGACTTCTCAACTGACTGGCTTGGGTGTTCCAGAGAGCTTCTCTCTATGGGTTCTGTTTAGACACCCACTGCCCCCCCCCCCCAATGCCTTCCCCAGCACTGTTTTCTGAAAACCAGAAGCTGCCATCTCAGGGGGCCTGCCTTCCCTTTCCCTGCCTGCCCATGTTCTAAGCCCCATTCAGATGTTGAGAGGCGGCCATGAGGCAGAATTCTGGGGTTCGGGGGGGCTGCAGTAAAATTCCAGTGAGCAACGCACCCATATGTAGGACCACCTAGAGTAGCCAAGGAGGTAAAGGGGTGACGAGAACATCAGAGGCCCTTACAGTGAGATGGATATATCCCAGGCTAGAGTGACCGTTCCCACTTGGTGACAGCCAGTTGAACAGAATCCAGCTGGGGATAGGGAAGAGCACAGGCAGGCTCCAACTCACCTGAGACTCAGGGCCTCCAGTGGTTCACAGCAGTCGGATCTGCTGCTGGAGAGGTGCTTTCTCATAAGGTGGGGACTCTGTAAAGTGTTCCTTCTTGGCCCTGGTGTGATGGATCCCAAGTCCATGCCAGCCACCTTAGCTTCCAGAGGCATAGATAAAGTGACAAAAAGGAGGTCCCAACTGGGATTTAGAGAGGGTGACTCTTTGATTGTCTTGACGAGAGAGCTAGGTCCCTGGGACACAGTGGGAAAGGTCCTATACCTTCATTCTTAGGCCTCCCTGTTTCACAGTTCTGAAAGGATTTTGTTGGAATTTGGTGACATGGATGGTTGATTAGTTTCAGGCTTGTGTAGCAAATCCTTGAAAGGAAAAACTTGTCATACAAACAAGGCTTTCAGGGGGACCAATCCCAGGTGACTTTAAGCCATCAGGGGGCTAACTAAGGGTAGCAACTTGGTCCAAGGAGTTTCTTGCATTGGTTTAGCAAGGTGCCCTTTTAGTAATACGTTTGTCCTGTATATCTTTCTAGAAGGCTGGGGATGCCAGGCAGTGGAGGATTAAATTGTCCCCAAGGTCCAGGAAAGTCCCTGGATAGATTGTGCTTTGGAGGCTGGGCCATTGTCACTGTCTAGCCTTAGGTACCCCAAACCCAGGAATTATTTCATTAGAACAGTTATCATTCCCTCCTATGCCTTTTCCACTTCACAAGGAAAGGTTTCGACCCAGCCAGTGAGAGCCATCACCCATACAAGGAAAAGATGGGCTTTGGTCCCCTGGTCAGTGAATAAAGTCCCCTAGTCCTTTCCTGGGGACTTTGCTTGCCTCTGTGTACCAGCAGGGGACAGGTCAGATTGGCCTTTCGGCGTGTCTCTTGTCTCTGAACCATTGAGTGATAACATCTGATGTTCCCTTTCCCATAAACATTTTCCTCTCTAGTTGGAGTTTCCCCTCTGTAGATGATATGATTTTATAATTCCCCATTGTACCGAACTAGACAGTCATCCCCTCGCTGCCCCCAAATCCACGATGGTCCAGGAGGGTACAGCTATCTTTGGGAGCCTCTTCCATTTTAGGGATGGTATATAGCATATTTTCACATTGGTTGGAGGAAGGAGTCTTCCCATAACAGGCGTCTTAGTTACTATTGCTGTGGTGAAACACCATGACCCAAAGCAACATGACCAAAAGAGATTATTTGGCTTATATACCTGAGTCAAAGTCCATTGAGGGAAACTGAAGAGGAACTCAAACCAGGGCGGAGGTAGGAGCTGGTGCACAAGCCACAGAGGCCTGCTACTTACTGGCTTGCTCATCATGGCTTGCTCAGCCTGCTTTCTTATAGAACTCAGGACCACCCACCCAGGGATGGCACCACCCACAATGGTCTGGGCCCTCCCACGTTAATCGCTAAGAAAGAAAGTGCTCCACAAGCTTGCCTCCAGCTAGGTCTTCTGGAGGCATTTCTCAGTTGAGGCTCCCTCCTCTCAGATGATTCTAGCTGTGTCAAGTGGACATGAAACTAGCCGGCTCAGAGGAACATTCTGGTCTCAATGCAGCTGCTTTAGGAGCAGGACCTGCTGGCTTGGTGGCTACCCCAGGTCATGAGTCCCCTCCCTTTTGCTGTCTCTGGCAGCGCATGGCTGCCACATCAGTGGGAGCTAAACTGTCCCAAATGGGGTCCCAGATGTTACTAATCCTCGTTCCTTCCAGACAGCTGCATTCAAGTGCAGAACCAGATAAGCACATCTGGATTCAGCACAGATGTTCACCCTCAGTGTCTCACTATAGCGCAAAGCCTGAGCCAAGAGTCTCCTCTTGTTACAACGGAGTACCTTCCCTTTTGAGCTCCAACCTGAATGGCCATCAGTTAACAGAGTTCAGGCTTTAAAATCAGGTCTAGCAGTGTAGAGTTCCAGCAAGACCTCTTGGCATGAATGTTCAACACTTTCCGTGTCAGGGAAGCAAGTAGCAGGGCTGAGACAAGGACAGACCTTAATGATCACTCTGGTCTCTCCATTAGGAGCCTGACAGCTATAAGTGTTCTTTAGAATTATTTCCCCAATGCCATGGAGAGAATAAACAGAGAGGGTTTTTTCTAGGGCTCATTTATAGTCTTCCGGGACCAGGAGCCTCACAGCTGCAATTGCCCTTGGGTATCCTGGGCATCCCTTTGTCACTGAGTCTAACTCCTTGCTAAGGTAGGCCACTGGTTGTGGTATGGGTCCTATTGATTGGGTCAGAATGTCTATGTCAATTCTCTTTCAGAAACAAACCAGTGGAAATTGAGGCTGAGTGGGCAACCCCAGAGTAGGGGCCCTTGGTTAATACACCCTTGAATACTGGGAGGAATGATTAGCCTCGGGTTCCCATGTTGGGGGGTGGGGGGAGGTCTAAGGGAGAGTCTTGGCTGGTTCTGAAAATCCGGGAAGCTAGGTACTTGGGAAGCCCATAACCTAAGGAAGACACCCAGCTGTCCAACAGTGTGGCAAGGGGGAAGCTTGGATAGGAGGGATCCGTTCAGAGTTCAGGTTGCTCCTTTTCTCCCTCTGGCATTGCCCTCAAGTATGTGACTCGAGATTGGCACTTTTCTCAAGAGATCTCATTTCCCTCACATGGCTAGAGGAGGCTGGGGTGGTGGGGGAGGGGTGGAGAAAGTTGAGGAGACTGGGGTGGTGGTGGATGTTGGAGTGTAGCCCCCAGCCCCTGACATCCATTACAGTGCCCCCTGGCCTGGGAGTTGCATTAGTCTGGACTCCAAATCCCAGCATGCCAGGTCCTGACTCCTCCCACATGGTATTTAAGTGGGCTCCCAGAGGAGAAACACATACATGTGCTCCCCGCTTTTCTGTCTCCCGGCCACCTGAGAGTGTCGTATTTAATAAAACGATGGGCATTTAAATTTGTTTTGATCTGAAAAAAAAAAATCCCCCCAGCTTAGGAGTTTATTAGAGGGGGTGTGTACAGGCCTGGGGAATTGGTGTGTAGAGAGATAGAGAGAGAGAGAGGGATGGGGAGGGAGGGAGAGAGGGGGAGAGAGAGAAGCTGCATCTTCAAGAGGGAGATGGAAAAAGAAGAGACTCAGGCTGCAAGCAGGAAGGAAGATCTGCCCATCTTAGCAGATGGGGGAAGGAGTGGGCGTGGCTTATGACTTGTCTATTAAAGAGACAGAACAGATAATTACAGGGTGGAGAAAGTTGAGAGACTGAGTTCCCTGTCAGCATATCTTTGCATGCTTCCCAGAGTAACACATCTACCTATTGGTGCAAAGTTACATGGGGACTGACCAGTCTATGAGGTCCTGGACCAAGGCAAGTGCAAAGAAACAGGGACTGTCCCTAAACCTTTAGGGCAGGACAGTCCAAGTAACTTTTCAGGCCTTAAAAGTGTGGTCTCCAAAGGCAAATAAAAGCCAAGTATCCAGGTGCAGATGGTACCAAAAAAAGGCATTCTTCAAATCCAGGCAGAATGGTAAGTTCCTCGAGGCTGAATCTGGGTCAGGAGGGCAGAGGTGGAAGGGGACCACAGCCTTGATTAATCCGAAGTCTTTTACTAACTTCCAATCATTGGGGCTTGTTGAACTTCCAAAATAGGTGGGTTATAGGAGCCAGAACAGTCCTTCCCTCCAGAGTCCCTATTTTTTAAGGGCCAAGATGATAGACTCGAATCCTGTCTCTTCAGGCTTTAGTGAGTACTGTTTCTGGTGGGGGAAATGGGTGGGGCCTTGTTGACAGAGGTTTCTGTCCTACCCAGTCCCTCTATGTCAGCCACGCCACCCACATCCGTTTAGTCCCAAATAAACAGACAGAGGTCTACATTAATCATAAACTAGTTGGCCTATTAGCTCAGCCTTCTTATTAACTCATAACTTATATTAGTCCATAATTTTTGTCTGTGTTAGTCACGTGGCTTGGTACCTTTACTGGCGAGGCAGTCACCTCTATGTCTGGGTGAGGACTGCAGACTGACCTTTCCTTTTCCCAGAATTCTCACTGCCCTGCCTCTACTTACTTCCTGGTCGCCCTGCCTA